TCTGATTGACTCTGCATATGCTATAGCATGTAAGGAAAACTGGCATAAACATCTAGGCAAACTTGAAATTAGATATCTATTTATACCATTTCTTGACAGCCAATATTTATCTTGAAGACTCGTGAGAAAATTGGAGTTGTGGATGTAATAACCTATTTTGTCAATGGTTAAGGCATCATAGTTGTTGTGAAGAAAACAACTTTATGAAAATAGCAGACCCCGGTGAATATTGGTTCCCAGACCCTTCAAGGAAGTCTTATTCAACTTACTCTCGGTTGGAAATGAAGTTTGGAGTGAATTGATGAATCTCATTAAATCTAGCTTATCAAGTTCATTTGGTGGTTTAAAGGGAAGAAAGCCAAGATACATTATCATTGAAATCTATTAGGTTTGTCCACCTTTTAATTTTTTTCATCAAAGAAAAAAGATGAGAATAAAGTAGATTTTCAAGAGAATTTAAAGGGAAGAAATACATTATAGAACCAAAGAGATACCAGCTTTGTAATATCCTCCTCGATAGAACATCATAAAGATGTTTTTAATTTCTCAATCTGTGAATTTTTAATATTTTTTAAACCCAATAAGATGGGAATAAGGTTGTTCATGAAGAAGTGTATTTAGCTCACTCCTCTTTATTACCATTAAGGTCACCCCCCCCCCCCCCCCCTCCCAGCAAATTGTGATTTCCATACAAAGAAATTTAAAATAATTATGCCCTTAATTATTGCTCCATAAATACATTTTCAAAAAGGAGATCAAAGAATATATGAAACAATATGATACTGAAATGTCTCTGTTTGCCATATTAGACTCAGGATGTTATGACTGAAGTTTTTTCCTTTGGTGACACCATTGTTAAAACCACATTCGTGCGAGACAAAGTGCAAACATTTCCTTACATTTCCATTTGATGGAACATTGCAATATTTTCTTGGCTAGCTCTTACCTCTTATGATATCGTTTCCTGGTTTGGGCAAATCAATTTTTGTTTCCTCCCATTGTAAAGGATTGCAGTGCAGGGTAAGAAGCTGATTCGTCATTTGATGTTGTTGAAATGAAAATTGTTTTCCTTGTAGAGGATATGAAATTAATTATGCAATAAGCATGAACTGTTTTGCCAAATAACACCTCTGCTGTCTGGATGAACTGTCTGGGTACCGGCTATTTGGATGAAAATAGGAAAAATAGAAAGGAGATTCAGTTGTTGAAATTGCACAAGAATCATGTTTCCATAGATCTTCATATGCAATTTCAATATACTGACTGATTTATATATTTGAAAAAATCTAGATATGAAATCGATGACACATGTTAATTTTTATATTTATGTAAACAAAAAGCATAGAGGATATAATGTTAGTTCAGAGCCAGAAGGGCATTAAGTATGAATAAATGTTTGCCTTTCTGGCTCCAAGCAATGATAAAGTATATTCAAAACTAGGATATAGTAAATTATCATATCATGCACTCTCGGACTCAAATGATAATAGTGATTATGCAATCATTTTCTTTGTCTAAACATACTATATCGTACTGAAATATAGAAGCCCAGTCAAGTTTTATAGACCACGGGGGTAGTACTAGGAGCCATTCTGACCATACACTCTGTTCTCTGTTTTTTTTTCAAGCCGAGATTTTAATAACCACCACCTCCTGAAGTTCACCTCATCGTTCGTTCGTACCTGTGGTAAAGCAATCATTATTTCCTGACACCACACCATTATTAATTTCCTGATTCACGCCCGCCCTTCATTATGATGATGTTGTCTGTCTCCCCATCACCTAGCTTCGGTGGGTGGACAGGAAAAAGTAGGCGGGGTGTTTGCACTTAGTGACTTACCAAATCTGTAAACAGTAATGAAGCTTGTGTACACATAAGTTATTTGACAAAAATAGTCACCATCAATCTTTTATTCTTTTTTTAGCAAGAACACTCAAATTAAAAATCCAATATATCTATGAATGTGTTAAGCTTATTACTCTTCATTTCAACACTTTGCTTTTGCACGATTAAAGAGTTATGCTTGTGTATTTTTACACATTGATCCACATGTTCTGAGCTTCTGCAACAACACAGCTAGGACTGGAAATATCCTGTTAACCCATTGTGTATAGGAACCAGGAGGTCCCGTTTTAAAACCAATAGGAATGAATGAGAGAATTCAGTCGTAAAAGGGTTGAAAATATATTAATTAAAACAAATTGACCTGTGTTATGGAGAATAGCATATTTTCCTCGACACTGCATTGTTAAGAGTGAACATGACCGGTGGTTGAATCCTGAAGAAATCTCCAAGAAATGTATTTTGGAGAAGTAAAACGTTCTCCTATACTCCAACAAATCTGAAAGTGAGAACATGTCCAGTGGTTGAATCCTGAAGAAATCTTCAGGAAATGTCATGGAGAAGAAAACGTTCTGAAAGTGTGAACATGTCTAGTTGTTGAATCTTGTAGGAATCTTCCAAGATTGATTGATGATTGGTGAATCTGATATGGGGTTTGTAGCTCAGCTGTCTTGGAGCAGCTGTACCCTTGTCATTTTCCCATGCGTGTCTATCACTACCCAGCTTATGAACTTGTTTTGGTGTTGTCCCTAAACTTGTTTAAGATCCCATATATTTTGGTCACTGACCAGGGTGAGATGAAAAGGCAAGGTTTATCATTCAGGGAGTAGGGGGGGGGGGGGGGGGGGGTAAGGATCCCACAGCTACAGAATAAAGAAGAAAAAGTTTGTTGTTGGCACCATCAACAAGATTCGGTCAGTGAGTTTGCAGAGACCAGAAATAGTGCTTACCGGTATAGAATGTCACTTTGATATGTTATTACTTGTTGGATCAAATTATTAGTTGTTAATCATTGGATTTTTTTTTAAAGTAAGTGGGTAGATCTAGACTTTACATTTCATATTTTTCTGAAGTTTGGTTGTATCAAGTAAGTTAGCTTTTCTTTTGTATATTGCCTGAAATTGAAACTGGATTATGATATACACACATTTACACAAATCTATTGTGGATTTCCCATGTTTTGATTAGCAGATTTAATGAGATCTTATTCTTTCTTCAGTCTCTACAATTTTTGTTTATAATATCCTAAATAGAATTATTTATTTTTCACTTCTGCCGTCTTAGAATTGTTGGTATCACATCAGTTTGCACATTGTAGTGGTTTGTTTCTGTATGGCTGGAATCACTTTGAAACACGCCCTGTCAAAAGTAATGGATTAAAATAGGGAGTCAACTCTATGGTATCCTACTGTGAGCACGGATCGTGAGGTAAGGAGAGCAAAAAGTCCCCTGCCTCTGACAACCTTACAAATTCCAACGAAAGTATTCTCTTTCCTGCGTTATTCGTGATACAATTATATAACAAGAATAGTCGTGTGACCTTGAATTAAACAGAATATGACACTGCATTTGTTTGCACGATTTGTGTAGATACCTCGGCACTTATCTTCAGCCTTTCCAATTTGATTCAAGAGAACACCCCAGGTATGTGCTTACAAATGTGAGGGCTTATAAATCTATCAAAAAGCTACGTCTCTATGCAGTCCTAAGTGGCGATGTGTCCTTGCTGGCTGATAGAGAAGGTCTGTCTACTTTCTGACGAGATGATATTTGCACAATTATTTAGGAATGACATATCATTGCAGAACCGCCTAATTTCTTCAACTCTGCTGCTTGTTTCATTTCCCGAAGCACTATAGTGGAACATTTGTACAACAACCAGAGACTATGGAACATATAAACTGATGAATGAATACTTTTCCTTTACAGTATCCTGAGCACAGTTCTAAGGGAGATTTATATTCAAAGGCTTCTCATAGAAAATCTGTAGTTTTAAAGGAATGTTGTGTATATGTTGTATGACAAGTATGTTAGTTGTCGACAGGGATGATATTCCCTCAAGGATGAACTGTGTACCCTGGCGAGAAATCGAACATTGAATATCTGTCAGTAGCATGACAGATATCCAGACTAGGAATTGTGTTTTAGGGTAATACCTCGGATAGCTTGGCTTGACCTCCCGATTAGGATGCACAAATGTTTCATCTTTCTTAAAGGAAGAGGAAAAGGATGTGAAAGTATTATTAATATCACCAGGAAGTAGAATCTCATTGTTGAAAGATAAGAGCTTTAGTGATGGAATGTGGACAAGTTCTTGCCTGCTTCTCTCACATCTCAAATTTCCTCTTATTTAGTTGTTGGTTGTTCTTGGTGATTTTTGTTTCCTTGTGAAAGGTATTAAAGCATTATTTGACACCTGCCCCATGAAAATTGACATCTATATGCCACTAAACAACAAGAGTCTGTGACCAAGTGTTTATCTTTCGACACCCCTCCCCTCCCCTCCCCTCCCCTCCAAAAAAGATGTTGACTTGAACACATCATTTAAATAAACAATCAAGTTATTAAAGATATCCAGAAAAAATGACCAGTTGGTATACTGTACATGGCATGTTCCAACAACTCCCCAAAGAAACGTCAACCTTTCAAGATGTATGCTTGATTGATTTGATTGTGAAAGAGCTGTCCAGGGGTTTCCTTTGGAATAGCAATCACATCCACTGGGAAATATCTAGCAAGAAACCTTATTCCTAAGATCAACCAATGATACCTTACTTAGCTCAACACATCCATCCACAACCGTTAAGTCAACCATCATTTATGTGAAAAAAACAAGATTGATTTTTTCCTCTTTATTTCAGCAAGAGTAGATCGCAATCTGGTTAAAGTCTGCCGAATACATTTTTTTCCATCTTTCCGATTCACAGCATCTTAATTCTCATCTCCCCCATCACTTCCCTAGACACCCCCAAACACGTTAACACCAAGAACCTAAATCTTAATTGGCATCTTAGGCCGCACTAAACAGAGCACATTACTCCCAAACGAAGTGTCCAATGTCTCCTTAGAATGTCTCAATTTTCTCACTACACACATGACAGATATTCTCTTCTCATTTTTCATGTCATGTTTTGTTTTGTTTCTTTTTCGGGTGCAGGTTACCAAGGTCCCGGTGGAGGAGTGTGAATTGTACACCACTTTCTCAGAGTGCGTAGGAGGAGCAGGAGGGCAGGATGACGTCGCCGCCGTCGGAGATCCCTACTGTGGATGGTGCTCTCTCTATCAAAGGTGAGGCCATGGGGTTGGATCGAGGAGGGCAGAAAATGTAACATGAACCGTATTTGCGTTACGCATTCTATATCTCCTTGAATTCAGTGTTCTGAGACTCGGAAAACAGACCACAAATAAAACCCTGCTGGTGCCTTTTTAAAACTGGGGGAAATTCAGAGCAGTGGCATAGTCCCTTAGTAAACGCAGCTATGGATAACTAGTGTCGGGATTAAAAGCTTATGTCCGATTCTAATCTCACCATGCATGCTAATCTTGTATGAGGGATTGCTGGGATATATTTTTCTTGAATCAGAATCTCTGATAATTGATTAATTCTGGAATAAAATGTAATGTGATCCGTCCTCATGAATTGCACTAAATGACTTTCACTTCCTTCCAGGTTAATGACCTCACAATGCTGAGTTTGGCACGGGATTGGATTTCATAGCAATTATTTCAAGTTTTAAAAAGGGGAATTTTATTGGACTCCCATTATCATGAGGTGTTTGTTATTATAAAGCTCTGTCTCATTGGGTGTTTAAATTGCCTGTTTTCCAAAGGAATCGTGCTTGTCTTTCCATTGGGATCACAATATAATAAATCAACATTTCACAGAAAAGCATGAAATAAATCATTTTATTTGTGCTAGTTAGTGTGTATAGGGGGTTGAATTCATCTCATTGTGGTCATAGTCTTTTTACTTTGAATGGTGCTATTAAACCCAAACTACTAGGCATGAAGTTCACTTATCACTGATATCACTGATTCTGAACAAATCATGCTTCAATTTCCATTCTGATCACAATATAATAAACCAACACCTCATAGAATATCATGAAATAAATCATTCACGTTATATTTTATTCACGCTTGCTAAAATTTAGGGGGTTGAATTCATCTCATTGTGGTCATAGTCTTTTTACTTTGAATGGTGCAATTACACCCAGACTACCAGGCATGAAGTTCACTTATCACTGAACCATAAAATGATAAATCGATGTCTCTCGTCAAACAGTGGATCTTTTGGATGTGCATGAAACCATTGTCATTCATCAAATATTGATTTACTTGCCACTGAAAGAAAATCTCATTTGTTAGCCTTGAAGAAAATGGGACAAATCTGCAATAAACTTGATGTAAATTGGCAATGTAAGTTGATAAACAGATAGATAAGCTGTTGAAAGAGTTTTATGATAGATGATAACTTTAATTTTTTTGTAACAATCAGGAGGATTAATGTCTCCAGAAAGTGGTATAGTTCTAAAAATATTGGTTTAAAGAAATTCTAAAAGAATTGATACAATAGATAAATCCTTTTTGGTAAAAACACTTTTGTGTATTAATATTTACATGATGTGTATCGACAAGGAAGGAGTATTTTTCCTGTTTTTTACAAAGATATCAAACATTGACTTTAATGTGCTTCAAATATATCCCCAAAAAGAGTTCAGCCTTCAGGGGATACAAATTGGGGAAGAGAAGTGTAAAATCTATGCTTTAAAAGGGTATAAAGTGAATAAAGAAAAGAGGGAAATAAAATAAAAATAAAGGAGAAATGGATGTTTGCTCAGCTTGTACTTGGTGCAAGTGGATTTAGAAGTGCAGTCCATATTTATCATTAGAATCAGGATATCCTAATGTATGTAATGTGGTGTTGGTTTCGTTAAACCCCCACAGGGCACTGCGCAAGTTGATTCAATTTAGCCGCTGGTGTGGAAAGCACTCGCGTTAAAGGCACCGGCTGTTCAGTGCCACGTTGTATTTTAAAAATAAAATTATGAAGTTTTCGTATTTCATAATGATAAGTATCGAAGCAGGTCGTCTAATAACAAAACCTAAAAATGCATACTATTTTGATAAGTCATTGAAGATTTGAAAATATTAATATGTATGGAAGGTTATTTGTCTGCTTTAATGCTAGTGGGAGGAATGGGTATGAACTTTTACACTGAGCGCCAGGTGATTGAATTTGCGTGGCGATCATTTGATAAAGCTTGCCAAACTTGCATGTCTTTATGATCACAATGAAATGAAGAGGTATGTAGGACGAGACCTGATACATCCTGAAAGTAAACATGATGTATAGAGAGAACAAGAAAGGGTAATGGAGATAATGAAGGGAGAGAGAGAGGGAGAGCAGGAGAGGGAGAGAGGGAGAGAGAGGGGAGAGAAGGAGAGAGAGAAAGAGAGAGTGAGAGAGAGGGAGATAGTGAGGGAAGGAGAGAAAGAGGGAGGGAGAGACAGACAGAGACAGAGAAACTTGAGAGAGAGAGAGAAGAAAGGGAAGATAGAGAGCGAGGGAGAGAAGGGGAGGGAGAGATAGATAGATAGAGCGAGCGAGAGAGATGTACATTGTATTCAGAGTGGTTGGAGCAAAATTGAGAAAGCTAGAGAGATAGAGAAAGAAAATGAAAATGAAAGAAAAAGAGAGAGAGAGAGATAGGAAGAAAGCGAAACGGGGGGGGGGGGGGGGGTGGGGTTGAGAAGTATGCAAGGTAGAAGAGCACACAGTAATGTATGCAAAGTACGATAGTCAAGAAGTAAAGGGGTTGACAAGAGCTTGTCCAAGTTTAGGGAATGTTTTGTCTGAAATGTGATAGAGAAGTGGAGGGTGTTTAGATAGCTACAGGTGTTGTTATGACTAGAAAACCAAGGACAGTGACTGACTCAAAGCGGTGCAGTTTGACATAAATGTGTGTATGCTTTGCTTCTGAGTTGAAAACATAATATGCATGTAATGGATACTTCATGAGCATGAGGGATAATATGAAGTGAAGTTAGTTCCCAGTTGTGTATACTTCACACCGTCTTGTCTTTTGCTTTTTTTTTTATTCAGTTAAAGTGCATTTAATATTGATCTACGTATACAATGGCTCCTAAAATACAATAAGATTTATGATTGTGTGTGCAACCATATATGCAGTTTTCCAACTCCTTTCTTGGAGTGTTTCGATTCCAAAATGTTATTCATTGATTCATTACTCACTCATTTTCTAGTCACTTCATCATGTGCAAGATCTTGATTTCATTTGTAGAAAGAAGCAATTTTATTCAATGTTATCAAAAACTTTTGATCTAAGTGTTTTTTCAAAATAATATACATTTACTCAAGGAACATGATTATATAATTATATCGATCTTGAATAATCCCTTTGCTTTACAGGTGCACAAGAGGGGTTGAGTTTGAATGCCCTGGTGTGGAGAACCCTAACCTACCTCATCGTTGGTTGACCAGGGATGATGAAAATACAAGAATCGAGAAGATAACTCCTCCAAACACCGACAGCGGAACAACCATTATGGTAAGTGGTCCTTCAAATCTTCTCTCAAGTGGTACTAGTGTTAATACGTTTTATTAAAGGGATCGTTTAACAATGTTAAATCTGCGATACACGGCCCTACGTGTTATCAGTGTCTGTGATATGGTGTTAAATTGAAGCCCTAAAAAAATTGCACTTCAAAATGATCAAGAAGTGCCTCAAAAAAGTAAAAATCTTTGAGTTACCGGTTTTAACATATTCTTTTCACCCAATAGACTGTAGTGTTATGAAAAATGTTTGGCAAACGGTTTTCAAAATTTGTAATTCCAATCATAAATATCTTGATAATCAGACAGGCGATCGGCTTGTAAAAGTCATGGGGTTCCTGACTGCCCTAAAGGTCTATAATTATCATTGCAACATGAACTAAATCCAGAATTTTGTTTCAGAATCTGAGACAAAGTTACCGAATCCCTTTAATAGCAAGAATGTCTTTTACTAATTAATTGCTGTACTTCCTTTCATATGCTTCTTCTGGTGATTAAGTACTATTGATTTCCATAAACCACTCTTTTCCTCCTACAAGTACTAAGCTAAAACAATATTTTTCTGTCTTTAAATATTTATTTTTTGTTTCGTTTCTGGTCATATTTTATTTGTATAGATAGTACTCTGAACTTTACAGATCTCTAGATAAGGGTAAAGTAAATGGAGGTGTGGAATTTGGTGATTCTTTTCTCGTCTTGTATTGTCTGCTGAAACAGCTGAAAGCTAAAAGAGTGTTGACTTTTGTCATTTAACATACAGTTAACACCCCTTCAGCTTTCAGGGGACAATATCACTTGTTTTGAGCCAGAAAGTCATTAACCCATATGAATTAATGCCCTTCTGGCCCCAAGGAGATGTGTGATCAGATGATGCATAATAAATGTATCTCAGATGTTTTTTAAATATTTTTTTGTACTATCCTCTAATGGTCATGAATCTTAGACAAGGTATATTAAGCTTCATATGTTCCTTGTGTTCTCACAGCTTCACATCACAGTACTGAATCTCCCTGCTCTGGATGTCTCGGAGGCATACCAATGTATCTTTGGCGACCTAGGAGACAAACCTGCAGCAGTCAACACCACCATCCCCAGTCGCACGGTGGTCACATGTTACACCCCTCCTGACATTCTCGAACCGGTTGATGGTGAGTCAAAATGGGATGTTTAATACAGGAATTAGATTTAATCTGGATTAAAATTTGAAGAATTAAGCGTTGGAATCTTTCAGTCCTTTAGTGCCACTTTAATACCGCTTAAACCTTTTACAATTCGGTTTCTTTGAAATTATGTCCTTCACATATTTCTTTTAGAATGACATTGTCCTCTATAGAAGATAAAAACTTATTTTATTTTACAAAGTGGGACTCCTGTCACTTCTTCAGACAGAAGTGTTTAAAAGACAAAATTATCAATAGATAACATCAACATCCAGTAGATTTCTCCTCACCATAACAAGTTTATATCATTGTCTTCTTTTTAGGGCCAAAAGGGCAATAGCCCTGCATTGAATGATGTGATTAAACACCATCCTGGCTCTCATCTTGGCTCTCAGCACACGATTTTGTCCATTTGATATTGATAGAAATAAACAGTTTCATTTTCTTGAGCTGAGATCGTGCTTTGATCCAAGCAGTCGCTTATTCTTGTCTATATGCCACTTGGAAGTATCCCCCATCCATTAGCTCAGTCCTGCTGAAGATGAAATTAGCATGAATGCTAGACCAGCGGATCTCCATCTCCGTGGGGATAGTCAATGCAGTAATCCATTTAACACCACTCTGTATTAACTCAGCCACTTTGACGTTGAGCTGTAGATTCAGGGTATTAATACAGGGAGAATTCAGTGAACAATAACAAACCTTGTTTTGAGAGACACTGTCGATTTTCGCATGGTTATTTAATAAAGAAATAGATTAAGAAAGATTAAATTTTTAAATGCTGTATAATACCTTGATTATATACCATTCGAAAACAAGCTCCCATTACACTTCTTAAAAGTAACTTGAGAAGAAACTCAAGTGTCTATGGAATCTCATTTAGAAATTTTGATTGTTTGTGTATGGTATCAAATAACAAAACAGTTTCTTATGACAGAATTTCTTCAAATGCTCACGAGACTTTTTAAAGAGGTACCCAGAAATACAATAATCCATTTACCACTCTAATACATGCTCAATTTCAAATAATCCACGTTCATTCTCCTAACAGGTTTTACGCAAGTGGAGCTCACCTTGAGGCACACCAAGACAAACGTCGATGTCGTTTCCACAGACTTCTATTTCTACCAGTGCAGTACTTTCTCCACATGTTCTGAGTGTGTTGCGCAGGCGTTTGGTTGTAACTGGTGCGGCTACGAGACCATGTGCACAGTCAATCTAGGCCAGTGTCAACCTGAGGGAATCATTTTGGGTGTAGGGGTAAGTCATTCCTGCTCGATAAAAACATTTTTTTTATTAGGAGTGCCTTTCTAATGCAATACATGTGCACTGAAAATGTGAGTCTTAAACTCTTGTAGCTTCTTAGGACTTTTAAATGTCCTTTGTGGTGAAAACTAAGACCTACCAATGAGAAATTGTATTGATGATCGAATAAATGAATTACTTCTTTAAAGCAGTTCAATTTTGAAATTTGTCATGATGATTGATGGAAATGGAAAATGAATCATGTTCTTAGTCCATGATTATAATGATTGAAAATGTTTATTTCATTGAAAATATTTTCTGTTTTCAGACGGCCACTCCATCGGCCACCGACTTGGTTGGTCAAGAATACTGCCCTCGTGTGGGCCTCGGTGATGATACAGAGATCTTGATACCAGCTGGAATTCAGAAGAACGTCCAGCTCAATGTTGCCAATTTGCTGGCTCCCCTGGTGAGAATCTTTAGGGATCACAGCACTCTTAGCTCAGAAACTGAATAATTAGATTAACACAAATATCAACCCTTCCCCTTTGTTAAAAGTTCATTTAGTCACATATGAATATTTTTCTTTTCTTTAAGAGGCTAAAAACCGAACCCTTTTTACAATTCGTGTGAGGTTGAAAAGCAGTCATTTTTCATTGCATTTAATGATGAATTGATCTGTTTACACAGAATCAGTGAGGTTGAAAATGAGAGATATATCTTTAAGATTGAATTCATGGACCATTTAGAATGAGGAATTTGATGGGGGATATTGAGTTATGACAACCATCATAATTTGAAATATGTGCAATTTGCACAGATTATTCATCGACAGATCAAATTTCATCGGTCTGCTCAAAGCAAGTGTACTTCAAGCAATGGATAAACGTGGGCTTTATACCATATTAAGGATGATAATCCTAGCCATTTATTAAAGAATATTTTACACGGTCATTAATGTCATCTAACTCATCCGTCATATGAAATTGATTTTTGCAAAGCTCTATCCTGTAGCTCATATATATTCATGGTGACTTAGCCATTTTTCATATGACTCTCATGAAAATTTACTCAACCTCGTGTGTACCGTATGTTTAGGCTATAGTACATTTTAATTGGAATATTTATTTAGTGTATTTATTTAGCCATATTTGACCTCCATATTTCTGTGATGATCATTTGTAGAAATAGTTCCTGATAGTTGAGACATTATTAAGGAGTCGTCTCATAAGTAATAAATCATATTAATGACAAGTTGATTATTATTTATTTTCTTACTGTTTTATTGATATAAGTCACATTTCCTTGTTCATTACCTTCAACTACTTGACCTTGTCTACTCTATTCTCACCATCATACTTTCATACTTTGTTGTGAAAGACCAAAGTTAATCTGTATGAATGAAGACTTAGAAGTAATACAAAGTTTTTGGTATGGGATCGTGAATTTGGTTCAAATGAACATATTGGAAGCAATATTTTACAATATTCAATAATCGTTGTCGCTGTTGACATAAAGTCTAAAGTAATGAAATTGTACACAATAAACTCTTTATATTGTATTAGCACCCTCTCAAGACTGATATTAGTGTAGCTTTTAAACAATGTTTCTGGACTACAATGGACCAATTTGCCATTCCCATTTGGAAATCATATATCAGAACTGCATATTCTTAGATTTGCATGGTCGCAGCTACCATGGGATAGCCTTAGGTGCTATTTGAAATATTTGATATTTACCGGGAGCACCAGTTAATGTTTGATTATTCAATTTCTTGAAAGCAGAAGTGTTTTAGGAGCTAAATTTTCTAGTGCTCATAATAATTACACAGGGGCTTCCAAATTTATTTAAAATTTTAAAGAATTACTATCCATCAAATTTTTTTAATTTCCCAAAACTTTGTATTACCTTTGAGGAACAAAATATTATAATACATGTAATCTAAATTCATATTCTATTTGTATGTGTGTGTGTGTCTGTCTCTTTAGGGTTCTCAGACTGGTGTCGGTTATACGTGTGTCTTCCAGTATGAGAGCAAGGAGGTATCCGTCCAAGCTAATTTAGATGGAGAAGATCTTCTCGTTTGTGAACAACAAGTGGTAAGTTTGATGACATCATATGTAGCTATTGTAACTCCTATAAGGCTTTTAAGAAAAGATGTTGTATTGCCCTTTGCGACCCAAAATCTTCTACTCTGCGGTCAGCTTTATATTAAAGTTGTTTTTTTTATACTGTATTTAGAGAGAAAAATGTTGAATGAATTAAAAAACTTTAAAATATCAGCCCAAAGAGGGGGGGAAAAAAAAGGAAAAGAAAAAACTTTAAAATATCAGCCCAAAGAGGGGGGGGGGGGGGGGAAGAAAAGAAAAAATTAAAAAATTGACCGACCGACCGGCCCAGATGCTGGCAGCTAAAGGGCAATACAACATCTTTTTTGTTTAGGCCTGATTGCCGTCATCTTTTCCAGTCACCCTTATACATATACTCTGGTTCTTGTTGTGTTTCCGAACGACAAGAATGTGTCATCTATTGAGAGCATTAAGGGCATTAACTTTTGTTTGAAATGATATTAGAGATAATGCCTTTCTTGCTCCAAACATACAATGATATTATGTCCTGTTTATTTATTTATAAACATGGATAAGAGGATTGTTGTTTAAAAGGATGTACATACTGTTCTCTCGGATATGTTGCATCCTGTTATGATATTTGATAACAGCTGTGTTATGCAACATCCTTGTGTCATGGTTTCAAGGGAAAGGAAGTAGTAAGATTGTCAATAATTTCTCTTGAGTTCATATTAGACTGAAGGGTAGTGTCCATGACAATTAATCCATCCCCCCCCCCCTCTCCCCCCTAACTTTTCAGGGAATTCTGCCCTTAAAACTGGACTTATGTGTGAGCATATGCTATTGAACAATATGGCAGTTCTTGCCTGAACGTTCTATGTTTTTTCTTCAAAATAATTGTTTTTATATCTTTATTTCCTCCAAAACTGAAATAACATCTATTGCCGCATCATTTGCTACACTAAAAGCAATAAAATTTACTTTCTCAATAATGAGATCCTCAATTTCAGTTAAGATCTAAACAGATTATTTTGACACCTTACAGATTTACAATGTTTGGTTTTGTTATTGAAATAATCAGAAAAAACTGTAGGAGAAAAAAAAATAGAACACTCACATATAATTTACACAATAATTATCTTCCTAAAGTATTTAGCCTTGTATAATGTTATTCCTTCCATTTATATAGATGTCTATTTGGTCTGTAAATATATTTGACATTATTTTGAAGTGCATTACTTTATTTCCCTTCCTGTTTCCTTCTCCCCTGACCAAAAATCACATTTCACCATCCGATGTACAAAGCAAAAAGGATATCTGTGGGTGTTTTTCATAACATGGTTCCAAAAAAGTAGGAAATGATAACTTCAACAGCGTATGTGAGCCAGAAAACAATATTATGATGCAGGTCTTCTTCTACCAAATAAATAATATACTTTGGCAATGAATTCTTTATCAAGTTAAAGACATTTGGGAAAGTTCGTTCACCATGTTCCTGACACAGCCAAGTTTAATTGTTATTTTGAGAGAAGACTCTTAAGATTATAAAATGGATAAGTACCAGGTATTTTGTTATTGAACCTAAAAGGATATTCATAGAAGGAGAAGTACTGCATGACTACATCGTCTGTTGAGAGGGAGGAGGGCACTTTGTTATATGATTTGACAAAGATGTAGCCCCTAGACTCTTAGCAGATGGTGAACTTTTGGCCTGGTTGTCTTTTTGAAGTATGCATATAAAAATGTACCATGAAGTATTTTTATGTTATACCCATACTGAGTTAAATGCATGAAGATGTGTATGAGTTTAGACCATTGGTGGGTGAGGAATGGTGTTATGATTCAATGATTATAAATTGATGTATGTTTTTGTTCAAATTTGCAGTTTGAATATGAGGCAGAGGCCAACAGTGTTACAGGATCTATGATCGTTACATGGAATGATGTCTTTGTCATCACAGATAGAGAGATACCAGGTAAAAGAAAAATCTTATCTTATATGAAAATAACCAATCGCGAAGGGACTTAGTCACACCCCTCCCCCCCTCCCATCCCACGTGTCGTCAATAAAATTACCTTTAGAGAAAGAAAATCACTAAAATACTTCAAGAAAAGGAAAAAAATACCCTGGATGTGTATCTCTGACCCCGCCCACAATCCATTCCATTCATCATACAGATACATCAGACCATTCAACAAATCAACCACTACAGTAGTACCAGCTAGTATTTCCTGACCCATTCCAAAAACCCAGAACAACAGATTTGTTTCTCTAAACCTATTGTTCCGTCTATTGCTCTGGATTCCTGAGTGCCATAGTGAGTCAAAGAACGGCCAGCCGGCACTGTACATTGATAAATCATCTGTGTGTAGCCAGAAGGGTTCTAACTCATATACATTAACACAGAGTCAATGCTCTTCTGGGTCCAAGCAGACAACATTTTTTATACTTAGTCTTCTGAAAGTTTCATCTGTGTTGATATTAATTTGATGGCTATAATTCATTATGATTCATAGCTCCTTATTATCAGCAACAACAAAAAAGAAATACTGATGTATTCATCACTGCTTAAAAAGAGAGGACAAAATGTAAAAGATTAATTATGATGCCACTATTTTATGTAACCGAAGTTACATGTAATGCAGCAAAGGGACCCTCAGGACAGCTGTTGATAATAAAGATATAATTTAATTTTGATTTAACTCATCTAAAGTGTATTTACATTTTTTTTTTTCATTCATCTTTCAGTTATCTTGTACAAGTGTACCATTGACCGATCAAACTGTGGACTCTGCTTGAGCGCGGATCCTAAGTTCCAGTGCGGCTGGTGCAGTAGTCAGTTTGAATGCGGGATTGCATCCCAGTGCCTGGATAATGATTGGTTGATCGGAGAGGATACGGTCTGCCCTGACCCAACAATCAGAGAGGTATTCAATCCCCTTCATTGATATTAAGAAATAAGATTTTTCTGCGATTCTAAACAACCACAAAGGTATTAACTACTTTTGAAGGACATTACTTGGGGTGGTGGTGAAGGTGATGGCAGTGATGATAATAAATGACGGTTATTATAATTTGACATATATAATGATGGTAATGGTTATGGAGATGGTGATGATGATTTTGACAAAAATGTGATGATGATGATGAGGAGGAGGAGGATGTGGACTGCCACAGTGATAATGATGATGATGATGCAGCTTGTAATTTCAATATCCATCATATCTTATCTGTCATCCAGATCTCACCAATATCTGGTTACTTCACTGGTGGGACCAATCTAACAATCAAAGGCTACAATCTTGGCTTGACTGCTGCAGACATCATCAGCATTAGAGTTGCTGGTATAGAATGCATCAAGGATGAGGCTACGTACATCACTGCTCTCCAGTAAGTATAAACCATTCCTTCCCCCCTTTAGTCAATGATTTTGTCTCCTCAGAGCCAGGAGGGCATTATGGCATATCACTTAAAAACCGGCTTATCCCCTTCTGGCTTTCAAGGCATCATACATTCATCATTCAATGCATCTGGTATATTAGTCAATAGGGATCAAGTTCAATGATTCTGTTGAAAGTAAAATTATGCAATCCTTTCATACATCCCTGAAAATGATTAATGTAAAAATAATGATACATTCTCACTTAAGTTGTTGAACTGTATTCACATTCATCATGTTTTCAAATTGTGTCATTTTTCCCTTTCCTGTGCAGAATAAGCTGTACCACAACCTCCTCTCTAAAACCAGACTCTGGTAATGTAGAGGTGACCATAGGTAACAATGGAGGACAGATGTACTTGGCTACCTCCGAAAATGTGTTCAGCTACGTGGTAAGTTATTATTAGTATTTCCTTTGATGATAGACATGTAAAGCCACAAAAGGAAAAAACAAATACTGTCCACTATAGACAGATGGTCATTTCAGAAGTTTAATGACACATATTTCTTCCAAGAGGAAGACAATACAAGTGACCTCTATAGAGAGGTGGCCATTTTTATAGTGTTTATTTTACTGTGTTTGGCATTTATGCGGGAGCAAATTCAAATGTGAAAGTAATGATTGATTGTCAAACATATTTTATTGACAAAAAGTTTCCAGGTGATATTTTCTGAAGTTTGATTATCATTCTCTTTTCTTATCCCTAATTTGTATTCCGTAGTTGCCCAAGATCACAGGAGTAAGACCCGCCTACGGTCCAGCGTCTGGTGGATCTCTTGTCTCTATCCTGGGTCTTAACCTTGATGCTGGTAGCAGCAGCATAGCAAACCTAAACGGTGTTCCTTGTCGGATCGTCAGGTAAGTTACTCCTTTACGGATAATGTATAACCAAAAACTTTCGTGACATGAAACTTTCGCAAACTGGTAAGGTCAGCCTTTTCATGGAAATATAGTTTCGCAAATGGCAAAGACTTAATTTTGGGCTTGTTGAATATCAAATAGTTTGTGGCATGAAATTTTGTGATACTTGATCATTCATGAAAGTTGTGAAAGTTTCTTGTTAATGGATATATGATATCTACAATTAAAGTTGTTGAATAGTATTGATACGTTTTGTTCTATTTTAATTGCCTTTGTTCTAAATTCTCATCCTAAGATCTATGTTTTCAGGCTCTGTGTTTTGGTTAAAATAAAACTTGATAAAGGATAGCTACTAGTATATCCTGGGATACAAAATTATTACACTTTTATATACTATAACCTTTTGGTCCTTTGAGGAGGGGTTTGTACAATGATTATTGTTTAAATGCGTGTGAAGGCCATTCAGAAACTCAAATGACTATCGATGTAATACCTTGGTATTCCACTCATTACTCATTACTCTTTTTTTTTATTTATTTTTTTTTATTAAATAATTTAAGTGATTTTTTTTCTTTATTTTTCTTGCTTTAGTGCTTTCCCATCTGAGGTACTTTGTCTGAGTGGTGCAGCTGGAGTCGGAACCATGGGTTATGTCAGTATGACTGTAGATGACCACTACGTGGAAGGATCATCGGAGTTTCAATATCGGCCAGATCCAGTTATTACTAGAGTCAGCCGGTTCAGCAGCATCAGCAGGTATGATGATGGTCGAAGTTCCCCTGTAGGGGAGATTTGTGAATGTAACAACATTCTGTTTATGTGATCCAATTGAGACTGTAATGTTTATAATGCAAGAGGGTGCCAGAGACCCTCCTGATATGACTTTAATAAACTATACAGCCTGATTGAGTTAAGGCACAGGAGATCACCGTTTGTTGAGTTGTTATTCAAGCCTCTCTCATTACAACTAACAACCAAAATATCACAAAGTGGCAGCGGTGTGATTTATGCATTATAGTACATAAGACCTGTTAGTCATAAAAATGGGGTTATATTAGGGGGTATATACTTGAATGATGTTATCAATATCAATGTCCCCATGATGATACACAAATGTTAGTCTTCCGAAGAAAGCTATTGTGATTGTTTTTATCCTCTCAGGAAATTATAGAAATTGGAGCTTATATAGGCAGGAATACAATTTGATAGTTGAATATGAACTTTACACAAAGTAATTGAATGTATTAACAAGAAATGTTATATGCATACATGTACTTATTTATACCAAGACCTTTTGAAAGTGATACTGACACTTGACGAACGTGTTTTGATGTTTATTTTAAGTTTATATTCTGTGTTTAAATCTTTTATAGTGGTTCCCTGGAGCTTGATGTGGAAGGAAGTGAATTTGACACCATTCAGTGGCCTCAACTCAGCTTCCTCATTGAGGACCAGCAACTCATCTCGGTCAGTACTTCATCATAATAATAATAATAATAATAAATGATAATAATAAAAATGGTGCTTATAAAGCGCTTATCACCGAAGTCTCTTTATATGCCAATGATGTGTCTTGATATTTTGAGATCAATTTACATAAACGTTGATGATAACCATAACTGACTGACGGAGATGTGTTATTTTTTATTTTTAAATAGTTATGCTTGTCTCTTATTAATGGAATTTAAAAAAATGTCATTTACATCAATATTTTGTGTGATTATAAATTTCAAACCAGTTGGGTCATCATCCTGATGCTAAATTTACTTAATGTATGTATTATCAATATACTGTAATCATTAAATAAAGCATGATGTTAATATCTCTACTGACATCTTATCTTTCTACAGAACTGCTCAAAGAGTGCAACGACCTCCATGATGTGTTTGACCCCCAGTGTGAGTGACCTCAACTTGACCTTACCCCTAGAGGTACCTATTGCTAACGTCAGTTTCCTATTGGATGGTGTGATGGAGTATGCACCCTTGCAGAATAATGGGCAGATCAGTGGCCTGGATGAAGCGTTCATCTTCGTTCCAGATCCCGTTTTCTATCAGTTTGAAAATCAGAAGGTGGAACTGGAATTTGATCAGCGCAAATTCATCAAGATCTCGGTAAGTCACTAATTTTGTCTGCTTTTAAACAATTTTTTTTTTTAATTCAGCTGTCCATACAGTAATTTCTTTTGCCCCATTAAAGAGGCATCACTTCATAACTTCATAACTTCATGTTTCTCAGCCAGGGAGTTCAGAGAGTTCGAAAGTAAAGTGCCGTAGGAAAAATGTGATCCCAAAGATTTTTTGAGAATTCAACTCAAAGGCCAATATTAATACTCTATAGCATTGCATATGGAGTCAATTTCAAATTATGTGATATTTCATTGTAATGTTCCAACATTGTTTTGTTTTTTTCTTCAATAGTTGATGCATATGGCTATTTAAATGGCCCTCACATGTTGATTGATTGGTTGTAGGTCTTTTAAATCTCATTGGAGATTCATTGTTCTGAACATACCCAAATGTGAATATGGCTTCACTATTAAACATAGATAATATCGTTAAGAGAATAAGCCTTGACATTGTTTTCTCTCTCTTCTTTGTCCCTTCAGGGTGATAACCTTACCTTAGCATACAGAGAAGATGATGTGAGAGTAACCATCGGGGGAGCACCATGTACTGATGTTGTCGTCAAACAACAGGAACTGACATGTTATGCTCCAGAAACACCACCATCAGAATTAGAAGGAAGAAACACATTTGATGTCATGGTAGGTTGATTTCCAATTTGCTTTTATGAACAACTAAGAAACACCTTTCTGATGGCTTGTTCTTTTTCTGTATCTGTTGCAATCAAAGAGAATTTGATCTGATAAATGGAAGTGTCATATAACCTTTTGCTTGTAATACTTATAAAAAAAGATTTTAGAGGTATTGACTTAAAGATAAACTCCAGTACTGGTAAAAAAAAAAAAAAAATTCTCACAGAATCAAACAAAACTTACACTGAATGTTCAAGATTACAAATAAATGACATGTGCCAAACAATTTTGGAAGAAAATGTATACTGGCTGAGTAATGAGCATAGAAAGACAAGGAAACCAAGGTAGTACCATCCCCGACACCATGTGTGTTGTCCCATATATGGCTTTCTATGTGAGTGTTTGTTACTTTACCAAGACTCGGTCAAATTTATTATGATTTTGATGACTCCAGAACCTTGCAGTGCACACCAATACTTACATGCTACATGATCAACTGTTTCTGATCCTTTCACACCTTTTCTTTCACAATGCAATCGCATTACCAGTACTAAAGTTTAGCTTTAAAGGTTGGAGAGTTATTAGTACTACCTTTTGGACAATATCCATTGTGTGGTGCTTTTGTCTATTGTGGCATACTAAATATGGTTCCATTGTTGTTATAGTCACATAAATAAGAAATATGTGTTGCCCACTATACAGTGCAATTCCTAAGTAATATTTGTAAAGAATTCGAATTTGGAACATAAGATATGGTTATTATTCACAAATTGAAGAAACTACAAGTAATTTAGCAAACAGAGGAAGTTGCAGGGTTGTTGTTTTTTCAGATTATGATAATAATGATAATAACCAGTTCTTTTATAGCGCTTTTCAGGACATCAGGCCCTCTCAAAGCGCTTTACAGATATATTATGATTATGATATGTTATGATTATTCAAGTTGTAACTATAAAACTGTTATCATCCATGCACTCATCTCAGGTGTACCACGGTTCCTTGAGTTTCCTTGTGGGTCAGGTGGAGTACCTCCCCCAAGCCATCCCCCTGGCCCTCATCGTTGGATCGGTAGCGGGTGGGGTTCTCTTCCTCCTCGTCATCCTCATCATGGGGGTCTGCATCGCCTCCTACCGCAAGAACAATAACAACGAGAAGATCTTCAAGCAGATGGAGGATCAGATTGGAACCCTGGAGCTTACAGTGGCGCAGGAGTGCAAAGAAGGTAAGGTCCTCGAAGACACAAGAATCTATCTGCAGATACAGTCAAACCTGTCTACAGCGACCGCTCAAGGGAAACACCGAAAGTGGTCTTTGTAGACAGGTTCCTTTAGTACATGTTTCAATGAGAAACCATTTTCAAGGGAAACAAAAAATGTGCTTGTTGTAGACAGGTGGTCACTAAAGCAGGTTTGACTGTATCATCATCATACATAGTGGTCATAAAGCAGATATTTTCTTGTACTCCGTGTATAGTAGGAGAGATTGGCTATATTATCTTTTTAAATGCACTTATTGCACGATATACACTTCATTAACAGAGAATGTGCAGCGCCTGGTGGCAGCTTCCGCATTCTCTCCTGTTTTGCTAAGTTTTGTTACCATCAAGCAGCTGAAATTAACTCCAATTTTTACATCAGTGCACAGATTATGTGCTCTAGGTTGGAACCATGGCAATTTTGGGGAAGAAAAAGTCTGAAATAGGTTGTATTTTCAACTTGATTTTGTTGGTGATTTTGTACCAGAAGACTCCAGTAGTACATGGGGCTCACTCAAGCCCTCATTCACTGTCACTACACAGAGAGAATCCCTTTCAGTGTGTTCAACCAGCCTTTCATTCTGGACATCGGTGCATTGTCACTCAAGAACAATCAACAATTGACCATTGTGTAAATCTTTACAAAGTGAGAATGACTTTAGCTTTGAAACTCATCCAGTATTCAGCAGTGTACTTGCATGGACTATGCCCCTTCTACAATGATGAGTGTCAACTGGATAGAGAAGTTTGCCTGAACTTAAAATTCCTCCATTTACTACGCAAGCCGTGTTTGACTCATGTACAATACAGCGAGGCCAAAGTAGAGAATTGGAGAGACAGCAAGCGAAAGAGATGGAGAAGGCGAGGAAAGAGAGGAGGAAGAGGACTACATTCACAGTTATGGTCTCGGCTAGAGACTATCATGTAAGTCAACCACGACGAACTCCATATCTGACTCAAGTAGCAACGATAGTAACTTCCACATCTGTTTCACACAGAGATGTGCTCCCCTCCGTATATATGGCCAACGCCAGGTCATTAACTAACAAGTTTGATGAATTTGTATGTCTTGTTCAAAGTTTTGACTCGGATATTGTGTGTGTCAGTGAGACATGGTTCAGTGAAAGCATCCCACAAAGCGTGTACAATATTCCTAGATATTCTTTGTTTTCGAAGCACAGGACAGTCCGACGAGGTGGTGGAGTCGCCATCTTTGCCAAAACCGACATGAACCCGACTCACGTGAAACTTCATGTACCGGAAGAGCATGAAATAGTCTGGACGCAAATCAGACCCAGTAGATTGCCAAGGAGTGTTTCATCAATTTACATCGCATCAATCTACTCGCCACCTGATAACACCCATGCAGATGAATTGGTCCAGTATCTCACTTATGCAGTCGACGAGATTCTTTCTAACCATCCCACAGCCGGTATTATTATCATGGGTGATTTTAACCGAACCGATGTGTCCCCGCTCCTTAGGGGGCAAAACCTGAAGCAAGTGGTCAACCGTCCAACTCGGAATCAAGCTGTGCTGGACAAAATTGTAACCAATTTGAATCATCTGTACTCCCCTGTTCACATTGTAGCCCCACTTGGACACAGCGACCACAATGGAGTTACTTGGCTGCCGAAAAAACAGCCACCCCATAAAAATAAAGTGCAACACAGAGTTGTCAGACCTTTCCGTGAATCTAGTGTCCGTCCCTTTGGTAGCTGGATAACGCATCACGACTGGAGCAACGTTTATGATGAAAACGATGTTGAGCGTAAGTGTGAACATTTCTATAACGAGCTTAACACTGCCATTAATCTTTATTTCCAATGTAAGACCATCAGACTACATGCGACAGACAAACCGTGGATGACCGTCGGAGTCAAGGGTTTAATAAACCAGCGACAGACGGCATTCCACAATAATTCCTCAAACCAGAACAATCTCCGCAACAAAGTGCAGAGAGAAATCTGTCACGCGAAGGAAGCTTTTTACCGAGATCGTGTCCAACACCTCAAACACGAAAATCCCAGCGCATGGTATCGCTATATCAAGGTCATGTCTTCCAACATGCAACAGGATGTGTCAATCGCACTGGAAGATGTTGACGCGACTGATTCGGTAGCAATCGCCAATGCTATCAACTCCTACTTTGTTAGCATAGCCAAAGACACACCACCCCTTGCAGCAAAGAACATTCCTGCTTATAGACCCTTTCCACTACACTCGATACCTTCTGTCCAACCATGGTCAGTCTACAAGGAACTGTCCAAAACGCACGTTGGAAAAAGTGGCGGTCCAGATGGAATATCCCCACGTTTGATCCGTGAATTCGCCGTTGAACTCAGCTCCCCATTATGCAACATCTTCAATGCCTCCTTTGAGCAAGGCAAAGTTCCAAGTTGTTGGAAGAAATCACTCATTGTTCCAGTTCCAAAGGAAAACCCGCCTACCTTGCACAAGCTGCGACCTATAGCTCTAACAGACTTCTTTGCAAAGCTCCTTGAACTGTTTGCTTACAAATGGCTCATGGCAGATATCTCCCCTGTAATCGACTCTCAGCAATTTGGCAACCGCTCTGGCCTATCAACAAGCCACTACTTATTGAACTTGCTAGAATACTTGCACTCCAATGCTGACAAGTCCGGATCAATCACAACAGTGGTACTTACAGACTTCTCTAAAGCATTTGATTTAGTTGACCACAATGTCGCAATCAATAAGCTGTTCACCATGGGTGCAAGACCATCCCTCATCCCATGGGTATGCAGCTTTCTCACAGAGCGTACCCAACAGGTTCGCTACAAGAACCAACTCTCTAGGAACCTTACCACGTCGGCAGGGGTTCCTCAAGGCACCCGTCTCGGACCGCTCATATTTCTCGCTGTTGTCAACGACGCACTTCGGACGTCAGATTGCCACCGATGGAAGTATGTTGACGATCTCACAGTGGCCGAAACTCGCCGAGTGAACTCCCCATGCAACCTCGACACGACCCTCTCTTCCTTTGAACAGTGGTGTGAGGAATCAAACATGCGCCTCAATCCCACCAAATGTCAGGTCATGCAAATCTCCTTCGCGCGTCGCCAACTGCCTCCACCCGAGATAAAGCTTCTTGATCAAATCATACCAGAAAGTCAGCATGTAAAATTGCTTGGCGTGATCGTGAGGAACGATCTTCGTTGGACAGATCATGTCAATAATGTCACATCAAGAGCCGCAAAAAAGCTCTATATCTTGAGGATGCTCAAACGTTTTGCTATGCCTACAACGGACCTCCTCACCGTATTCACCTCATACATCAGGCCGATCCTTGAGTACTGTTGTGTAGTTTGGCACTTCTCCCTAACCCTGCACCAAGAGAACCAATTAGAGCGTATCCAGAAGCGTGCCCTTCGGACCATACTAGCCGGTGGGTACGAGTCTTATCAACGTGCTCTTAGCGCTTGCGACCTGGTATCGCTCAAAGAAAGGAGAGCGGACCTTTGTCGGGTCTTTGCCAACAAGCTGTTCAAGAACTTTCGACATTGGCTACCGGAAAGCCAATCATCAAACAGACAACTAAGACACAGCAACCGATTACGAGAACTAAAGTGTAGGACACAACGCTACAAAAATAGTGCGATCCCACAAATTATCAAACTGCTGAACTCTAAATAGTGAATTGAAGATTAATGTTTAAATGTTGCCTATAAATGTGGAAATCTATTTATTCTTGCCTCAAAATTCTTTTCTTTAAATCAATCATTCTGAAGTGCATTCCCATTACTTTTCAATTACATTTTTAATTTGTTTTATATTATACCAGCTCTGTGTTTGTGGAAATGTATTTACTCTTGCCTCAAAATAACTTTTTACAAATCAATTCCTTCCCACTTATGTGGATGAAATAACTATTTTCAATTACATTTTCAATTTTTTTTATATTACACCAGCTCTGTGTTTGTGTTCCTCTCTCTCTCTCTCTCTCTCTCTCTTTGTTCTTCTCTCACTCTCTCTCTATCTCTCTCGCTCCCTCTCTCTCTCCCTCACACTCCCTTCTCTTCTCCCCTTCTCTCTCCAATCCCTCTCCCTCAACATTCCTTTTCTTCTTTCCTTATCTCCCCGCTCCATATTTGCTTTATTTCTGTCTTCCCTTTATGAGTTTAATTGAGGTTCTTGTCTTTGAATTATTGTTAAATAACGAACTGTAAATATGATGTTTTTTTTAAAATATTTTTTAAATAAAATCTCTGTAAATCATGCATGCAATTCAGCCATTGGCTGCGATATGTTGATGAATAAATACCATACTACTATATATATACTATATATATGAATGATGTTGCTGAGTGTTTCACCGTTTTTATGATGAATCATAGTTTAACCATTGTGAACTGATCAATTAGTTTGGTTAAAAGTCTTAGAATTCTTTGAAGGTGAAAGCATTCATCACATGTTATAGATTTAAGGTATTTGGAAAAATCTCTTGTCTCTAGAGGAAAGACAGAAAATACAGCAATTTTGATAATTTGTAAAATATAACAATCATTCTCACACAAAAAAAAACCTTACAGTATTTTGCTTGACAATCGCTTGTATACCATTCTATTTTGCCTTTACCATTAAATATTTCCCTATCTTTCACTTTTCCTTTGATTATAGCCTTTGCCGAGTTACAGACTGGTGTCCTGTCCATCACACATGACATCAAGGGTCACGGAATCCCAATTCTTGATTACCGATCTTACGTTGTCAAGTCTCTCTTCCCTGAGAACCCCAACCATGCTGTACTCAAAGATCTCTCGGTAAGTCGATTGCCCAACAAGTCACTGATCCTAATGTTGTGGGGCATAGGTAGTTCTTATCAATGAAAATATCTTAAATTCCTGAAATGTGTTAACATTATCAAGACACTTAACACAAAACTCTGTTGATATATTGCAAGTTTTTTGAGTGTTCACATATCTTAGTAAATTAATTTTGATATATCTGCTGTGAGTACATTCTTTACACTTTGGCGTATCCAAGTTACACATTTATCAATTCGCTTTTCATGGGTAGATGTTCCTGCAATTTATTGGCTGAGAACTAGAGAGGGGGGGTAATTGCAATATTACAGACTTAACATCTTGTTTTTACACTCATCAGTACTCATACTAATACATATGCGGGCCTTTGGCCTCTTTGTCTTCAGAGGTACTGTTGAATTAAGAAAAGTATAATCTGTCCTTGAATGTAATTTTAATAAAAACCCAACTTTTTGATGTTAAGGTTGCTGGTGTGAGGAAGGACTTTGTTCAGAAGGGTCTGTGGCAGTTTGGCCAGCTGCTCTCCAACAAGTCTTTCCTGATGATCTTCATACGTGTGCTGGAGGAGCAGCGAACCCTGTCCACCAAGGACTTCAGCAACGTTGCATCCCTCCTGGTAGTGGCCTTCCAGGGCAAGATGGAGTATTGTACCGATGTCTTGAAGGCTCTCATGGCAAGGGCTATCAAACAACACGTCAAGGAGGGAGAGGAGTCTGCTAGAGTCTTCATGAGGAGGTGAGAGAATGATGGTGATCTTTTTGCTCTATGGGTCACTCAGTGTTATTTAGGGTACGTGTGTATATTCCCTCCCTTTGAAAGCACCCCCCTAAGTCTGGTGTGTAAAGTCAATATGGGCCGATTTTTTTGTTTTGTTTTTTTGTTTTGGTATTACAAGCCAGACTTTGTTGCATGAAAAGTACCCCTTTACCAGAGATTTTGGGAACATGAATGCTGTCCCTCCATTCTTGGAGTGGGGGGCTGGGGTTGTAGTGATGCCTAAGATGGCAAAGTTGATGAACATGATTGTAGAAAGTACTTTCAACAATTATGATTTTGAGAATATATGAAAATTGTATGAGAGAAAATCATTGAGGTGTGTTCTTAAGGAGATGAGATATTAATTGTTCCTTGATCCTCTTGATGTCCTTCTCGCTCATTAAGAATTAAAATATTGTTATTATAATTCCTGATTAGGAAGTATAGTAATTGTACAAATACTTCCAATGATGGAAATGGAAAAGCTAAAGCTGGTGCACAGATATCAATGATAATGATAACAGATGTACATGTATAGTTCTAGGTTAAATAAGGAATTTAGATAGTTTGGTAGACATCATCGTGATACCAGGTGAAATGATATGACAGCATGGTTGTAATGGGGATGAGGATAACATCATAAATTTGAATACTATTCATATAATTCCAGAGGATCATCCGTTGTGGAGAAGATGGTTGGTAATTGGCTTGCTGTCCTGCTCTACAATCATCTCCAAGACTCTGCCGGTGAGCCGCTCTTCAAACTCTTCTATGCCATCAAGCAACAGGTGGAGAAAGGACCAGTCGATTCAGTGACGGGGGAGGCCAGGTACAGCTTGACGGAGGGGAAACTCATCAGACAACAAGTTGATGTCAAGCAACTGGTGAGAATAAGAAAATTTATGTCATATTTGTATTATGCACAAAAATATCAATATTTGTACAAAGGATAAAAAAAGTGGGTGTATATTTACCATTCAGTAGCATGAAGGATGTTTCATGGCATCAATTAATTAACAGAAATCGTTGATCTTCAATTAATTCCAGCCTGTTAATATTGATTTCAGTAGACTATTGATCCATGCAGAAGCGGTTTCATTATAGGATTAATAATTACGTATACTGGCAGCTGTATTTGTTTTTCCCACTCAATATACCTGGTATCCTGACAGTTGCCCCTGCAACAATTGCCCCTGTCTCTATTTCGTCAATTTTGTAGAGTTGGGGTTGAAATTATGCTTTAGGCTGGGGTTAGGGTCAGGTATAGGTATAGTGTTGGGTCGGAGGTTGAAGATAAGAATTTGATCAGTGTAGGAGATTGATGCGAAGCAATTGTCACAGGAGCTATCTCCTATCCTCATTTATAAATATGACTAGTTGATAATCATGCGAAAGTTGACATTTGTGATAAAGTGATCTTAATTCTCCTCAATCATGTGAAAAATCGACATTTGTGATAACGTGATCTTTATTCTCCTTATCCCATCTGCTACAGACCTTAAAGGCACAGGGACCAGACCGTAACACTCCAATGGTTGAAGTGAAAGTCCTTGATTGTGACACCATCTCCCAGACCAAGGCTAAGATCCTAGATGCCATCTACAAGACCTCGCCTTACTCGCAGAGACCAAAGAAGAATGAACTTGATCTAGGTAACTTTAGGGTTTTGTTTGTGATATTTTGTTTTGTGAACTCTTCCAAAATGGAAAGCAGCCAGCAAGGGAAATCTTAAAGTTACCAAGTGTTAACCAATCATGAATTGAAACGTAATAACTTTAGCCTTTATCATATTGTCTTCAGACATGAAGGCCCGAATTCACAAAGGAGGTTTGTCGACAAATCTTGGTTTTCGTTTTTTTTTACTCGTTTTTACAAACCAGGTTTGTAAAAAATGAGTGAAAACGCATCATACGACGTACGAAAACCAAGGTTTGTCGACAAACCTCCTTTGTGGATTCGGGCCGAAATGTTTTGTCACTTTCAGCTTATATTAAATCAAAACTTATCGTAGGGAGGACGTTGAGCCAGAAGGGTGTTGGCTCCTATACTTGTACACTCACTCAATGCCTTTCTGGCTTTTATCAGACGTATTGTATCAGATGTCTATGAAGTCATTTTTAGATTCTTCAAATAATACATTGTATTTTCTTTTGATGTTACAGAGTGGTATGATAGACCAGGTGGCAAACAAATTCTTTTTGACGATGATGCACTGAGACCTATGGAGGGTGGATGGAGAAAGATCAACACCCTTTCACATTACCAGGTATGAATTAAAATTTGATAAGAATTTTATAATGGCATCTTATGTTTATTTCAGACAAGTAATAACTATTTGTTGTTGTACGCATTAAGAAAAGTGAGTGCAATTGTAGGCACTATGCAGAGTTCCATTCTTTAACTTTGGAAAGGTTAAAGCACTCTTTGATGTCTATACAACTGGGTTGATATAATCTCTTCTCATTTTGACATTCTCTACAGGTTACAGAGGGTGCAACGGTCTACCTTCTACAAGCTCAGGGGAGCAGTGGATCCTTACATTCCAACCATTCTTCACCAGCTAGATCATACAGTAAGATCACTAATCATTTCTTTTAAGGATTGTATGAGTTGGATAGTCCTAGCAACTTAATGGCCCGAATTCACAAAGCAAGGTTTGAGCTCAAACCTCCTTTTGTTTCGCCAAACCTCCTTTTGTTCTTTACAAACCAGGTTTGTAAAAAATGCGTAAAACGCGTCATATGACGTACGAAAACCTTGGTCTGAGCTCAAACCTCCTTTGTGAATTCGGGCCATTATGTCTCAAAATATAGGACACTTTTCATCATATTTGTTTTGTTTTTTTAATTTAAAGAATATGGTAATAAAGTACTTCAGCTGTAGTTTATCTCTATTAAAGTTATTGCGAAGTAATAATTTTTAATTTTGACTAGTATATTGACCTAAATATAGAAAATAAAGAAAAGTTGCAAAGATTCGAAAATTGTGCAACAATCATATTTAAGAGATAGATTTAGGTGAATAAGCTTCAACTTGTCAAATTTCATATATAAGCATTACCTTTAAGACCAATTAATTGTCTTGTCTGTTTTGTAGATAATGTCAATGTGAGCTACAACATCCAGACCCCAGCATCTTCCATGTCACCGATGATCACCATAGACTATGAGAATATGAATAGAATGTGGCATCTGGTGAAGCCCCAGGACCACCAGCAGCAAGAGAATGGTGTTACTGATCGGAAGATGATGGCAGAGATATACCTTCCTAGGCTGCTAACTACCAAGGTATGGTGTCGCATGTGCAATGCCTTGAATTTGATGAAAGAAATCCATCCTGGATTTTTAACTGGGGTCGTGGTAATAGGCATTCAGGTTTCTGCTTTAGGCTATGGAACATGTAACAAAAATTTGGTATGTAATGCTATTAAGATATATATAATTATGTAAAAGTGAAAAAAGTAGATCACCCAAGTTATTATCTAAAAGATGGCTTTGTTGGTGCTGGTGCTAATACACAGTTTATTAGTCAGAACCAACATGTTGCATTGCAGTGAATAAGTGAATATGGCTTCTAGGTCCTAATCGTTCAATCTGTCTCACTCACTCTTATTCTCCTCTCCATCAGACCATCTTGCACAAGTTTGTAGATGACCTTGTGACGACCGTCTTCATGTTGGATGATGATAACTCCTTGCCTCTCGCCATCAAGTATCTCTTTGATTTCCTGGATGAACAAGCTTATGAGAACGGTATCACGGATCCTGCCATCATCCATGCTTGGAAGAGCAACAGGTAAGAATACATAATTCACATTAAATGTAATAACTAAGTCATTTTGGGGGGAGATTTGACTCCTTAACCCATAAGAATTTGAGATTGCATTGTAAATAAGTGGATTAAATGGCATTTGGGTACGCACTCACCAGCAGCTGCTTTGACCATGATAAAGAGATTGAAACAACTTGATAGCAATTAGAGTTTCAAATCTTTGCTCCCACTCAACAAGGTTACCTATCATGTGGGCACTGTTTTCCAGCTGTGCCTGAACTTGTATGCATACAAACATTTTCTAATCAAGATACATGTTACAATTTTACAGATTTGCTCTGTTTAAATCAAAGATTCCACAAATTAGAATAACTGATGAGTATTAAAGATCTGTTTTATGATGTTTTAGAATAACAGATAATACGGAATACTAAGTTGATAGACCAAGTTCGAAGGTAAATTTAAATAGTTATGCATTGAATATTACTTTTCCTATTTCTTTTCCACATTAAAGTTGCTATGTAAAAATGAACATGAATCTATAATCACTGTACTCCTTTCTTTGTCCTTTTCCTATCCAGCCTACCCCTTCGGTTCTGGGTGAATCTGATCAAGAATCCTGATATGATCTTTGACATCCACAAGGCTGACACGGTGGACTCCTGTCTTTCCGTCGTAGCTCAGTGCGTCATGGAAGCGTGCTCTGTCTCGGAGCAACAGCTCAACAAGAATTCACCGGCAAGCAAGCTTCTTTATGCCAAGGATATCCCTGCATACAAAGAATATGTCTCACAGTAAGTCTTGTACATGCCTTAATCTTAGCACACAGTCTGTAAAATGAATATATACAACATGGATTTAATTTCCTGATTAATTGTTTTGAAGGGGAGGGGTGTGTTTGCAGTGAATACATGTCTATGTAATCATATTTGTGTTAAAAGTAATATCAAATTTGCAGTTGTTCAGACAAACCAAAAATGTCATTTGATTTCGAAATTGCAGTTCTTTCTGCTGGTCGCTTGAATGTTTATTCATTATATTCATTATTCATTCACAGGTACTACAAAGACATCCAGAACATGCCTGTGATCAGTGATCAGGACATGAATGCTATGTTAGCTGAGCATTCACAAAGACATCACTATGATTTCTACATGCTATCAGCTCTCAATGAACTCTACTTTGGCTATGCCTGCAAGTACAGAAGTGAAGTAAGTATTGAAAATTATCATTTTGATTTTCAACAAACATTCGGTCAATCATCGGATGTGATAGGAAGGTCCCCATGTTGGAGAACAATGCATTAGTCTTGGGTTTCAGTCTTGCTTGAAATAATGAAATTATGTGATTGAAATTATGTCTGTCAGAATTGTGTGATGATGCAAACATAATTATGGATGTTAAATGGTATACAAGTCTGATATCAAAATCTTTCCTGCTATAATGGCACATTGACTAAATTATCAATGTATATCAGGAGCAATGTACTTGCACTAGGTTGCTCTTTAGGTAAATTCTTAATTTTTCACCTCCAAATATATTACTTAATTATTTGTTTTAATATTAACATTTTGTTATCTTTTACTCTCTCTTTCATGTACTTCTCAGTTAATATCAGCCTTAGATGAGGATGACACATCCATCAAGCAGGGACATGCGGAGAAGATCGAAGAGATCGAGAGAATCATGTCCAAATCGTTCTGACAAATAACCATCAACCCAAGAGAAGTAGGCAGAAAGAATGGGATCGTGCTACCAGACTCCGACATACAATCCACCACCTGTTAATGAGAGATAGAGAGAGAGAGAGAGAGGGAACAGAGAGAGAGAGAGAATATGAGAGAGCGAGAGAGAGAAAGAAAGAGAGAGACAGAGGGGGACAGAGAATGAGAAAGAGAGAGAGAGGGAGAGAGAGAGAGAGAAAAACTTAATGTAAAAAAATTGTAAGTACTTGAGACATCTAAACTGAAATATAAAATTTCAACTCAAAGCAATTTGAATCTGGAATTTAATTTAACCTTTTTTAAATTAAAACCTTAGATTTAAAGCAACTAGTGTTAGTATCATTTTGGTGCAAAGTAAAAACAATAAAGAAGTTATGATAACTAAATAACTAGAATTAAATTTTTAAATTCAGATAAACTGCTTGATGGGATTTATTTTCAGACTGCAACATAAATTCACCAAAGAAGTCTGGACCACATATTATTGAGAATTAGAGAAAAGGATTAGGTCAAGTAAAACGGAAGTCTGGAACGAACCATGTTAAGAAAATTCTGCCTCCTTCGATTGGGTTGATACTTATCAGAGAACTTTATATCAGATTATATATTTTTATATATTGATGCAAATTGTACATAAAGGAAAACTTATCACTTCCAAGAGCTCTTCATTCTAACAATTTTCTGTGATTATCTTGCAATTGTATATTGAAATCCTGCTTTAGAGAAGCTTAAATTGCAGCTGTATAATTCGGTGTAGTTGTAGCATTTAGCTCTTCTAGTATAGCCCAGTATCTTTATGATTTTTGCTGAATTTTGCCGTGAAGATGACATGCAAAGAAAGTATCCTAGGTGCTTGTAATATTGCTTTCATTTTATTTTATTTGATGCAAACTGACATTTAGTTAAAATGATTGTATCAGGATTGGAGAGTTCCAAATGGAAGCCCGGCTATTCTAAGTTGTTAGAAAAACCAGGTGACCACTAGAATATAGCAAAAGGGAGACAATTGGGGAAATGGCGTAGGTAACAAATTTAATGGACGGAATGAAATCTATACAAATATGCGATAATGGGATGATTAATTCAAAGTTATTCATCAAATTGAATGAATTGAATTTCTTTATATACTTTAATGAGGAGGAAATGGAGTAATGGTTTAAACTAATACATTATATTAAATAAACAGTGCAGTCTTTAAAATGTGTGACTGTAAGTTCATTAAACTGTACAAGTAGGAATAAATCAAGAGATGATTATGTAATCTTAGGGGGATATGTTGTTAATCGTGTTGTTATTTTTGTATTCAAGTAATTAGGGTTTCACGACTATAACACAATCTAAGCATGTACATGTATTATTGATGTTGAGAAATCAAGCCTATCCTGTTCATTCCCAAGTATACTTCTACGTTCTATCTTTTAAAAGCTTATCGCATATTTGATTTTTATGAATATAAACTCCCTGACTTACCACATTTATTAATGTATTTATTTAAAAATCAATTTAGTCCTTTAATTTGGTTATTTTAGTGTGTAGCTATTGGTGGAATGTTGTTAAGTAAGCTTGAGCTGGCTCAAAACCAAAGAGTTCTTGTAACAGTACTCTCTTTCCTACCGGCATTTATTCATATATTCCCAATTCATACAAAATTCCTTCCTTCATAGTCCTTTTTGTATTTTGTCTAATATTTTTTGGTTTAATTTTAATTGATAATGTAACAACTATACATCACATTAACATTAGTACATGGGTACTTAGATAAATTCAGAATATAACAAATTTGTCCAATATATATATACATTATTTATTTATCAATTTAAATATGCAGATATTCTCTTGAATATGCAAGCATGTTGATATTGTTGTCCAACCCATTTTCTATTCAGTACAATAGTAGAGATGAGCTTTTGCTACATTATTTGATAATCTTTTTTTATATATTTTTTTTATATATTTTGTATTTATAACCCATTATGTGTAGTCTTAAAAATATTGACAAACCTCTGAAGTTAGTAATTGAATGGTATGTAAATTGTAGCCATTTATATTGTATTCAGAAATAGTGCATATACCTGACATTAATTTTGCATGGCTTGTGACATTTCTTTTTTCTTTGCATTTGCTATATTTAGCTTGTATTCCTTTAAAAAAAAAATATGCAAAAAAAGTGCAAGATATAATGCCATATGTAAAGTATTAAGATACAGTCTTGAACAAAGTGCCATTATCGTTTAAAAATCTATATCATATTTGTGTTTTTTGCTATATGGAAATTGTTCACATTCCATGACTATAGCAAAATACATTTAGTGTACAGCACTTTTGAAGGAGCTGGTTCACATATGCCTTGTATTTTGGTGCAGGTTTTTTCCTCCCTATTGGGTGCCAGATGTGATATGCAATTTTCTGTCACATTTTCAAGCAGTGGGGATAGACCTTTTAGATATAGTGTCATGGAATTGATGGTGCAGAAAATATTGTTCGTACTAGTATGACATCCATGATCATCAATATTATATTTGTCTGGGTGTATTGTCGTTTGGCATACATGTTAGTGTCTTGTGAGCTGAAGTTGTGTCAGAAAGTGTAAATTATGTTATTGCGACATATTTAGTGTTTTGAATTTATCATAATACCATGTGGGAAATTATTGGACATACTATGTTTTAAGGAGAGAAAAAAATGTAATCCAAATTCGACAAAAATGGCATACTTCCAATTAGTGATGGATACCAAGTATTATCTTTTTTGCTCTAAACAGGTATCTAGAGAAAAATATATTCAGATCGTTGTTGTACAAATTCAAATCTTATCTTACAGTATATACCAACAAACGCCTCTTCTTCCTATTTGTGACTAGGAATACTTCCATACTAATTGACTCTACATATACATGAACTTGTATATATATAGAGAAAAAAGCAAACACTATTTTATATATCTTACTTAACTTGAGTATGATACCAGCAAACCAATTAAAGCAATAATGCGTATTGTAATTGTTGGATACTAGTAATCACATTGACTATGCAGAATGATATAGGATTTGCATGTATGTAGATCTGATATATAATTTACATTATATGTTATTGGATGTAAATATCAAGCTAATGCATAACTTGTAAAGATGATAATGATGATGGTGTTGATGATGGTGATGATAATGATGATGATGGTGATGATGATGATGGTGATGATGATGATGATGATGGTGATGATGATGATGATGGTGTTGATGATGGTGATGATGATGATGATGGTGATGATGATGATGATGATGATGATGATGATGATGGTGATGATGATGATGGTGATGATGATGATGATGATGGTGATGATGATGATGGTGTTGATGATGGTGATGATGATGATGATGATGATGGTGATGATGATGATGGTGATGATGATGATGATGATGGTGATGATGGTGATGATGATGATGATGATGGTGATGATGATGATGATGATGATGATGTTGATGCTTATTCTACGAGTTAATTCAGTACTTAATGTGAATTATTGTAGTTGGAAGGGAAAAATTGAAAAATGATTGCAAAAAATTATAACTTTGATGTACACATTCCTTGCAGATAATGCTGTATTTTGACATGCAAAATATATACATGATCATGTACATTCTTGTTATCTGTTAGATGGAGTGTAAAGTGTTCTCTATTTTCAGTAAAAATGACTTTAAATATATATTTATAAGTTGATGCAAATGAAACAAATCTTGGGAATGGAACTTCCATTTAATTGCCAGATTGTATAGTTAGTTAAAGATATTGAAATCATGAGTATGTAAATATTCTTGTATGTATTTAAAGATATATGAAGATGTTGTTATGAGCATGTATATTGACATTTTGTTTTTGCATATGATTGTTTTTTCATTGTTTTTCGATTTTTGTTTTTGCTGTCGAAAAACTTGATATCCTTCAACTCATTTTACATGTTTTCCAAAAAATGCAGATAACTTTGAAAAATAAAATCTTGAAATAAATTCTTAAACATTGACTTGTGATTTGTGATTTATTATTTTTTGTCTGTATACAATATATATTCATAAAAATGAAAAAGATTGTATATCTTCTATGAGAAATGACAATAAAGAAAATTATGTTGAAAATATGGGATGAAATTAAAGGAGGTGATCTCACTAATCAAAATGTATGCATTCAAAAAAAAATTACGGTACAGCGTGGTTCAAGTGCTCAATTCAATAAAGGTTTATTCAAACATGTTTTGCAGTACAAAGGCTGAATTATACATGTTTTACAAAGATTAAAATATGATATAAATACAAATTTTAATTGTGAATAAGTACCAAATTACATAAAATACGAAAGAGTGAGAGAGAGAGAGAAAGAAAAGAAGGGAGAAATACAAAAAGAGATGGAGAAAAAGTACAGTATGGTTAACGTATAAACACAGAAGAAGAAAAACAGTGACTTGATAGCAACACCATAAACATTTGATACTGATCAGAGTATCACAAATATGATAGATGATTATTATAAGCTTTTATTCGCGTGATGATTCTTGAGTGTACGTGTGAGATTAGGAGAGGCACTATTTTGGAATCACTTAGTCCTGCAAGTAAATTCTTGATATCTTTTGACATTTCGTAAATTGAACTTGTTAGTTTTCTATAGGAGGTAACCACGATTACAACATACTTTTTTTTCATAATTATGAAACCGCAAAATCTTTATTAAATTTTTCTCTACAATTCAAAAGAGATGGCATTCTAGTCTTGCTAATGCATTGTCATATGAATTGTAGTTTGATCACAAAATTATTCTACATTCTCTTTTTTGTATACTTAATATATCATTAATCTGTCTGCTAGTCAAACTTGCAGAAAAAGAGTTATACAGTGATCCAAAATTGGTACGGTCAGTAACATATCACAAACAAGTGAGGTTGTAAAGTTTTAAATGTAGGCCTACGTAGCATGCATGCATAATTTCCTTATACTCTTCTTTATAATTTCAGTTACATGATATGAGTGTTCCACTTAAGGCCACTTTGAATTGTGACAACCAAGAATCTTAACCGTATTAGGTAAAGGTATATTATCAATATGATAACAAATGTGTCTGTATAGGTTGTTTAGAAAATGAAAATAACATCCGAGGAACATTAGAATACATTTCAACAAATAAATCACATGTTGTAGAAGGATCGTTAGTGCGATGGCCCCATGAAAGACCACTACTTGTTGGTGAATGGGCTACCCTGTCAAAAGATTAGAAATAAATAAATAAATAAATAAATAAACGTCATCCCTGGAATGATCTATCAACCAAGTTCCAAACTCTCGAATACCACTTTCTCGTAGAGGGCGCACATACCTTTTATTGGGCCCTGTCTTATCAAGAGTTGATCGCAACTATGCACATAAGAGATGGGAGACTGCAAACTTGCGATTGATTGGGACCAATCGCAACACTTAATATAAGACGAGGCCCTGGTCTTATTTTCATTTTGCGATGTACAACGTTGTTAAGAAGGGTGCCATAAAACCACAGAAATGTCAAATTACAATTCTGTGCATACAACACAGTGTTATGATCGCTCATGCCTATATCGGTTCAAGAATTTGGGTGTCTCGGTAGATTACTATGGCAGTCGGTGATAATCTTTTTAAGCAATGATTTTGAAGCAGTTGATTATCATCCGAATCATTAAAATCTCCTACAACAGAAATAGCGCCCGCTTCTACATATATTTTAATAAACAAACTATCAATCATAGTGCTTGATGTACTCATTTGCCATAATATTATCTCGGAGGAAAATATATTAGACATACGATGAGACATGAAATATTTTTTGATAACTTTGGTGGTAGTATGAATATCAATTGAGTTTGCTTTTGTCTGTAGATCACGGGTCGGGATCACGGGGTTTTAATTAGTGCTTCACTACAAATTGCAACACCACCACCCAGTTTTCCAACGCGAGATCTTAAAAAAATTGCATATCCAAATATTGAAAATGAGTCAACTGGCCTATTATGATTTTGTTCGTCCGACAAGTTTCCGTACTAGGTAGTTATCGGCATTATATAAATTTGTGACAAAAGGACCTGGTATATCTCATCAAATTTGCTATTATTGAACGTACATTACATTTTTTTAAAATCGGGATCATGACTGTTCATGATGAACAGATGATATAAATTGCACTTGCTTCAAATTTTCAGGACAGCATTTTCTCTCAATGTTTTTGTACTCTTACGCAGAAGCGGATCTAGAGGGGGGGTTGGGGGGGGGGGGGGTTGCAACACCCCCCCAAAAAAAAAATCCGGGGACCATTTTTTAAAATCTTATCTTTTTTTTAAAACTTGTAATTTTATTTTATTCCATTTCTATGTATTTATTTCATTTATTATTATTATTATTATTTATTATTATTATTATTATTATTATTATTATTATTATTATTATTATTATTATTATTATTATTATTATTATTATTTCTTTTTTTCTTTTTTTTTGGGGGGGGGGGGGTTGGGCGAACAAATGTCACAGAGTCCCTTGCCCCCCCCCCCCCATCAGCTTTTTTGAGGACACGGGCCACCGCCGAAGTGAAAAAAAAAAGAAAGAAAAAAGAACGCACGCTGGAGAGAAACCCTTTCAAGTGCAAATATTGTGAGAAGATTTTCAACTCATCTGGTAACTTAACCAAACACATGATAACTCTGGATATAACTGTGTATTTAACTGTTACTTGATTTAAAAAGACGTTATCATGCACTGCTTTTTATGGTCTCCATTGTGTTAATAGATGCCAGGAAAACATCACTTACGGGGTTCAAATAAACACCCCCAAAAAATCGGCTCGCCGCTTCGCGGCTCGTGGACGATGCTCCGCATCGTCATTATTTCGGTCAACCCCTCCCTTAGCAAAAAGCTAGATCCGCCCCTGTTACGGTGTGTATTAAAGACCAATATCTGACAGTAATTTTATATGTAACGAATTCTTTAGTTTCCTTGCTCTTTCTATACAATACGATGACTTAGTGGGTGTGACGAAATGTTTAATGTCTTTATTATTTTCCAGGTTTCAGGAGGTAATTTATGTTCACGGGTGCTCAGAAACGGAATATTTAAGAGACTTGTGTTCTGGTGCAATGTCAGGTCCCGGGGTTTAGGTGTATATCACCACATGGTATACGTTGGTTGTTATTCCAACTAAAAAGTTGGCGTAATACAATTATAATTGAACTTTTAAATATTTGAGGTGATATAACATCCGCCCACAATAATTTTATGGGGAAGAACGAAACGAGGTGGAACTGTTCGTTGTTGTGCACAACATTATGCATAGTACACATATGATATTATGATAATTGATATACTGACATTCATATTTTCTTTGTGATGGAAGGAGGAACGGGAAGTAGAGGGAGAATGAGAGAAACAGAGAAAGAGAGAGAGAGAGAGAGAGAGAGAGAGAGAGAGAGAGAGGGAAATAAAAAAAGGAGGAAAAAAAGGAAGAAAGAAAGAAGGAAATCAAGGAAGAAAGAAAGAAGACAAAAGAAATTAATAGAAATTTCAGAGCGCAAGAGGACTAGGCAACACCAGTGGCGGATCTAGGAGGAGGGGTCCCCTCACCTGGCCAAAAAACAGGTAAATTTAACCATTTTTATTTATTAAAAAAAGAAATAACGGTCCCCCTCCCCCTGGTTCAAGGGGGTGTAGGTATTGAGTAAAAAAAACAGGGCTCACTAGCCCCCCCCCCCTTATTCGCGGGCTGGCTGATTCGCCGCTAAACATTTTCTCACGAATTGGGTCCCTAAGTTGGCCCCCTCCCTTGCCGCCGGCTGGATCCGCCCCTGGGTAACACACTTGAAAATTAAAACCAACAGGGATACAGGTAGTATCATTTTATGCTCGAAAGAAAGAAAACGGGGAGATCACATTCACATTACCGTCAATACCGTGTACCTTTGAAGTGGAGTATTTGCTAGCTCGCTCGAAATGATTAGACTCAGTGGCAAGCGACATCAGGCCCCTAGTACCGAGTACATGCACCTATGAACAGAGTGATCATACCTTTTAGAAAACTAGGATTTAGTCACTTCAGCGAGCATATCATTTCCATGGAGATCAAGAAGACAAATTGTGAGAGAGAAAGTACATTCAGATTCAGATTCGGACTCAGATTCGGGCTTAAAAGACAAGTCTGTCCCTCTTTGCAAGTTGATTTGAATAAATAGAGACAAATTAAACAAACAAAACTGAAAGTTTCATCGAAATGGGATAAATAATAAGAATGTTATGGAATTTCAATTCATGTGTGTCTTAGAATTAGAAGGAAAAAGAATCACTGAAGTGACTCGGTAACATTGTTGAAGGTTGATAAAAAAAACTGCGTAATTTTGTATGCATTGTTACTTTTTATATTCCTTTTACTGTACTAACCCTCTAACATGAAAAAAATACGGATTAAAATAATAATAATAATAATAATAATGGTCTATTTTTAGATTAACTTTAATTGTTCATCTAGCATTGAAGTCTTTACCAGTCCTTAGCACCACTTTCTCTCATCTGAACAATGTTACCAAGTCCGCTACTTGCTCCCTCTATTTAGAAAACAATGCCTAATCGGTGACTATTGGTCCCCAATGATCCTCTTTTTCTTATTTTAATCGAGAGCTGAGTTGATGAGATAACCACCTGTCCAGTGACCTTGCAGGGTGGTCTAATCCCTCATACAGATAAGCTTTAACAAAACATAATTATTATCAGTGGGGAATAGTTAGGGGATGGCACATCTCACGTACCTAGCTCTATACATTCTTTGTCTCTATATATCATTTACTCTTACACAGCCCTTTGTTTGGCCTATTCAATTGCTAGTAGACTTAGACCCCCTATATATCTAATTAATTAATTTAATCTTCACCTATTAATTTGACAACAGGTAGAATTTACTAGTTGCCACGCCCCTTTTAAAGTATAGATGATGTGAACTACAGCACCAATCACATTGGTCCACGAAGTGGTTATAAGCTGATTTGGACCTCTGTCATTGGTCGACGTCATCACAACCTTTTGGCGTGGTGTTCAATGATTGGACAGCTTACACGTGTGTGTGTAGTAAATGTGACAGAAATACACGTAAGCGTTCAGCTGCGAAGGGAAGAAAAGGCAGTAGATCTAGATAGGTGTAGCTGCTCATCATTATATTACATTTCTTTCAGTTACGTCTGAGGAGCAGTCAAAATGGTCAACAAATTTTGGCTTTTAGCCATCATAGGTGTTCTGCTTTTTGCAGGTAAGCAACAAGATTGTATTTTAGGTGCAAATTTGGGGCGAAATGTTTCAGCAAAGTGATATTTTTTTAGTCGTACAGTCCCGTATCCTTGATTTTGTGTAGTGTTATGATTCGCCCCGCTCGGTTTTTATCAACTTCCTCAGAGCTAAAACTAGAACAAATGAAATGTATTGAGGACGGTAATCTAAATACAAATCGGTTTTCTTAATGCATAAATGGATGTGTAGAATGCAGAATGCTTTTTAATATAGATGATAAGCCAAAACTATAGTCAGAAGACAAGGGAAAATGCAAGTGGTACAAAAATTAAATTTGGACTTTGGTTCACTTGATTAATCTTGTGCCAGTTAAATTAGACCCTACTGCTCTTTCGAGACTTCTAACTTACTAGTTTTGCATGTCATTGCAATTTTATTTTTAACGCCTAACGGTCATTTCTGTAAATTTTAAGCAGGTAAGTAAACGACTAACGTCAATCTCAAGAGATAAAGTCAAGAATGAGGATTGAGGTTTGATAAAATTATGAAAAGACTTGAAGAGAAATGAATTTAATGTCAGGGTTTCCAGACATTCTGTTGTAGGCTATTAAAGTCGAGTAAAACTAAAAACTAAACTAGGTCTACTAAAGTCTTTGTTTCAGAGAGTGTAGATCTAGTGCTGCCTCAGTGACGGAAATTTTATAACAATCTTGTATTTTGAAATGAAATTCAGACTTGTTCAGATAAACAAAAATGTAAACACATATTTCTGAATCCAAGATGAAATTACTGTTTCAGTATGTCCTTGAATAAATCAGATGGGATGCTTTATGGAGTACATGTGTAAATCAAAGGAGCTGCTTGGATTCTTCTACTTTTATTACTGGATAACTTGCCAGTCATGTTTCATCAGAAATCTGAAGATATTGCATTGCTTATTGTATTGTTTTTCCCTTTTTTCTTACAGCATGTGCATCAGCAGCAGATGAAGATGAGGGAGAGGCAATTGTTGAAGACGACATTGGAAAGAGTCGTGATGGATCAAAGACTGATGATGAAGTTGTCGCAAGGTAAACATGCACTTCCTTGAAGCCTTCCCGTTGCTACTGTAACAGATGATTAATATACATGTATTGAAGATACCACAACTTGCGATTGTTTATATCTGAGGCAAATGGTTTGAGCACTGAATAGAAAGATAAACACTTCCATTGTCACTTTTACAAATTTTCTTTTTACTTTATTAAAAGGGCGTTGCAGGTATTTGCACAGTGAAAATCTCAAAACTTGTAATGGGGCTAAAATATTCTTTATTGTTAATTTGACTTTTGCAACTGGCAGTAATTCATTCACCCCATTTGTTGCGTACAAAATGAGGGCTTCAATTTTCACTCAGAGAGAAAGTTTGCACACTAATGAATTTTGAGATACATTTTTTGAGGGCTTGTAAATCCCTGCTATGGGCTGTAAGGTTAGATTTAAAGGAAACTTGTTACCTAAAGGCAACTATAAAAATCTATGTAAATGTTAGGCTTTGTATTCTGCTTGTTATTGTTACATGTTTTCTTCTTTTAAGAGTCAAAATGAAATGAAATGTAATGTGAAACCAATGACATTACAGTTTGTATTTTGTATTTAATGTGGTTTCCAGGGAATGATTTACATGCATTATATTGCTGTGTTTTTTAGGGAGGAGGAAGCAATCAAACTGGATGGATTAAATGTTTCTCAAATGAAAGAGTTACGAGATTCAGCTGAAAAACATGTATTCCAGGCTGAGGTCAACCGTATGATGAAACTCATCATCAACTCACTCTACAGAAACAAGGAGGTAGGTCACGACCCCTCAGTCTCTGCATTTTTCTGTTATGAATTTCTTTTCTTTCACACCTAAAATAGCAATAACCCTGGTAATAATGTTGAAGCATTTGAGCATCACAGTTTGTTTGATATGAGCATAGTATAAGAAGCCAATATTAGTAGTTAAAAATTTGGTTGTAGCTTGTTATACATTATGAATAATAACTGTTCTAAAGATTTTCAATTCTGACGAGTTACTAACATAGCTTCATCTACTCTTTACTTTAAAATAATTGCCTTTTGAGGGCATATGCTCGTTTAATTGGATGGTCTGGGTACCCTGAAACCCATGATTTTTTTATGTGTATTAAAATCTTCAACCAATTGTTTAGATTAGCTCCACAAGATTTTCTCACATTGATTGCATTTTCTTATATTCTTTGCAGATCTTCTTGCGTGAGTTGATCTCCAATGCTTCTGATGCTCTGGATAAGATCAGATTGACATCGTTGACAGATAAAGCAGCCTTGGATGCCACAGAAGAACTGTCCATCAAGATTAAGGTACGATAATAATGATGGTAATAATAATAAAAGCGATGCTTATAGAGTGCTTACCACCGAAGTCTCTAAGCGCTATACGTTCTACTCACATTGTATTCTTACATTCATTATTTTCAGAAATACAAACTTGTTTTTATGTTGTATCTTCTGTATATTTCCCCAGCCTGCAGTATAAGACCTAGGCTGGGAATCACAATGTATGCATTGCAGGCAATCTCTGTCCATAATCCATATTTGATTTAGGAGCTAAGATTGAAATACATCAACATCTGATACCTTATTGGATGCGATGCAGAATTTAAGATTGAAGATTTTTGCAATGATGTTATGTTGGCTTTTTTCTAGTGAAAATTGTGTTGTTTTTTTTGCTCTTTCTTTGATCACATCTGTTTTTTTATAATCTTTACAAAAATTAAGTTATTTATTGAAGCTACAACACACATGTATAAATTATTAGAGCATTTTTTAGCAAAATGTAGAGTCTCAAGATGATAAATAAGCTCTATTTAATAATAATAATAGTGGAGTCTTATAATGATTATTTATTTATTATTCCAATGATGATCTATTTAGTTTGCTCTAGAGTTATACTTGTAGTTTACTTTAAAGTAGTTAATCTTGTTTTATTTCATCATCAGGCTGATAAAGATAATCACATGCTTCATATAACCGATACCGGTGTGGGTATGACCAAGAATGACCTCATCAACAACCTTGGAACCATCGCCAAATCTGGAACCAGTGAATTCTTTGAAAAACTATCCGTAAGTACTTTGCATCTGTTAAATATATTTTGAGAGACCTCAACATTTGTTTATATATTGTAGAAAAGAACCCTGCAAATAACCCTAACCTTTTATTCATTTAATCTAAGTAAAAAATGGCTTTAAATTTTTTTTTATCTGGAAGATATGAAGGTTTAAAGGTATTATTCGTAGCTGTGGTAGTATTCAATTCTATCTATCTATCTGGCTATAGTTCATCCAGACTTTGGACAAAGCCCTCCTCATAACATTTCCATTCTCTTCTGTCTCTAGCTGTCCTGGTCCAAGTGGCCGTTCCCATGTATGATGTTAGGTCATCTCTCCATCTTCTCTTCTGCCTTCCTCTTCTTCTCTTTTCCATCCTTGGTTGCCATTCTGTTAAACGATTTGTCCATATTATTGTCCTGAAGTCTTGCTACATGCCCAGCCCATCTCCACTTTGATTCTCTGACTTTCTCCATGATGTCTTTAACCTTTGTTTTCTGGCGTATTCAATTGTTATAACCTATATAATAGATTTACATATTTATTATGTGAAATTTCTGATTGTTTATATTCCTTTCTCATTAATCTTGCCAGAAATCAACATTGAAGTTGTGCACTGTATTTGTTTGTGGAAACATTGTAAATGACAATTAGATATTTCTTTTCTTCATAGGACATGGATTCATCTGAAGCTACCGATCTGATTGGTCAGTTTGGTGTTGGTTTCTACTCCTCATTCTTGGTTGCTGAGCGTGTTATCGTCACATCTAAACATAACGATGATGAGCAGTACATCTGGGAATCTGACTCGGCTGAATTCTCCATCAATAAGGACCCTCGTGGAGACACTCTCAAACGTGGAACTACTATCAGGTACCTTGCGCTCAGTCATTTATCACATAATGGACTGCTTTACATATGATTTGTCTGTGATGTGGAATGTTTATCTTGATGCTTTACATATGATTTCCTTGTATCAAGATTTGCAAATTCTGTTCGAAAGTCTCTAAAAGACTTTATAGATGCATTTAATTATGGGTTAGACACATTCTTATATAACAGTCTATTTTTTTCTATAAAGGAGTTGTTCTTGTGATGTATCATTTTTGGGTATTAGATCAAGAAACAGAAAGCTTTCTGAATTTCACTTTCATATTTAGTATTACTTTTATATAAATCTTTCTTCTGCTCATTTGGAACTTTGTTGCTTTGAAGACGGGTACCATCAATTCTTGCTGGGTTTATAGTTGGTAAATTCTCAATGTAAATCCAATTTCTTCAGTGTTCTGTCGGAATCATGTGTACATTTTGGGGATCAAACAGTCTTAATCGATCATTAGTAATATATTCATATGTTTGTTTTTCCTCCAGTCTTTTGCTGAAGGAGGAAGCCTATGATTTCTTGGAAGCAGATACCATCGAGAACCTGGTGAAGAAGTACAGTCAGTTCATCAACTTCCCCATCTACCTGTGGGGTAGCAAGGTGAGAGAGAGAGAGAGAGAGAGGGATGACATCATTTAGGAATCTTGAATGCCTGTACAATGTTGTATTAAAAGAAGTTATTTAATTTTTGTGTGAAGGAAATTTTTTGGCTGTCTTCTTTTTCCTTTTTTTGTTGGGGGGGGGGGGGGGCGTCATATAGTCTATTAAGCCTGTAAAATTGTTCAGACTATGACAAGTAGCTGCATTCATATCTGATTTTTTTTTTTCTTTTCTTTTCTCATAAAGTAATATATTTTATGGGAATTGTTTGTATTTTTCAGATCAGTGTTGCTTTTGACATCTATGGTGGAATCTGTGCTTCACATTTAGAATGTTTATCTTACTTGTTCTGTTTCAACATAAAAGATTTGATAGAAGAATTTAAAGACGTAATGAATTAATGAGCTAATAAGTTAATGTTATTCCATCAATGTTTTTAATACCACCAGACCGAGTCAGTTGAAGAACCTATTGAGGAAGATGAAGCAGCTGAAGCGGAGGAGGATAAGACTGAAGATGAGGGTAAGTCAGTCTAACAATCTCTCAAGCAATCTGCTCTTGGGGGGAGTCATTATCTGTCCCATATGGTACCAAGTATCATGCTATAATGACAACAATTAGCATTAAAAGTATCTTTTTCCTGCGACATCTGGTCTGATATAAACTTTTACAGGGCTATCAACTAAACAAAATTATGAAAGCTAACTTCTTTGATAGAGTCTGTTATGTATGGGACAAAATACTTCAGACTTGCCTTCATAATATTCTAGCTCATATGGTATGAAATTTGGCAGTAATGCAGAATTTGTCACTGAATAAACCAGAATTAGTTGCCGTTTCAAGGTTATCATGGCTCAACTCAACGATGAAATATACTTTCCAATTACTCTTCAACCAAATTTACAGAATGAAGTCAAAATAGTCTGAAGCTTGCTTATGGGTCCATCTTGACTCATTTTAGATGTGTATTAAAAAAAAGATCTTGCACAAAATTCTGGCAGATTCTAATGCCTCTCACCAAGTATTAAGAAACTGTTCAGAACTCACATTTAATCTTTCAAGTATTATACAGTTACTATTCCAACATGCACTATGTAGTCTTGTTGAATCTACATCATAAAATGAAGACCTGTTTATTGATTGTTTGATCAGATGTTGAGGTTGAGGAGGAGACAGACGAGGAAGAGAAACCCAAGACTAAGAAGGTGGATAAGACTACATGGGACTGGAGATTGATGAATGAGAACAAACCCATCTGGACCAGAGCGTAAGTCAAATATATCGAGGGGGTCAGTGACACAAAGACGTAACTCCATTTTGAAAAAAAAGTGGTTTATGTGTCACTTAGCACTTAAGGAGTTAAGTCTATGTTTCACTAGACATTGACTTCAATGGGGTGTTTGGTGGAGTTAAGTCTTTGTGTTTCCTGGAAACCCTACATTTTTTTGATCATTTTGATATCAAATACTCATTTTGGCAACATATGGAGTTACGTCTTTGTGTCACTGAACCTTGAATATGTGCCTTTTAGCATCTGTGGAGCATGATTTGACAGCTTATAGAAATAGCTTCACCACAAAAATAAACTGTTTTCATGTGTTTAAGAGGAAAAAGTATTGAACTATTTCATCAGATATCAAAAGATATCATTTGTACGATGCATCCTAAGGCTTCAAATAGTGCACAACTAAGTTGCCCTTCCACTCTTGAGCAAAGCTTAGCTAGGTTTCTGTAGGGCCTGTTCTCTTCTGAGGAGAGACAAATGTAGATTTTTGCCTGGCATGTTCTTATTGGAAGACTTCTGAAGGAGGGAAGTGATTCGAAGTCAAGAAAACACATCTTGTTTCATCCTTTCAAGTCTTGTTCAATTCAATGGGCAAATAACATTCACAAAAATAAATAAGTGAAGGAGAGCCACCTTATGCTAGGAGGCTGATCCGCTCCATCAGGAGTAAACCAATTTGATTTCACTATTGGGTCTCTCATTACAGGGACTGTCTGTGTGACCAGGGGGGTGTTTCACAAAGACCAAGATTGACTTTCAGTTGGACTTAATTATGGCAGGCCATTCATGCCACTGGTTGCTCTCACTATTGGTCTCTCAATGTAAATCCTTTAGATCTGTGACCAAGATTTATACGTCCCTTGAGAAACCAATGCCAGAAATGGTTAAAGGAACTAGTGGCATGAATGGCCTGCCATAGTTAAGTCCAACTTAAAGTAAATCTTAGTCTTTGTGAAACACTCCCCTGGTGTTAACAATCATTTGCTGACACCTGAAGTGGCTATTGTTCCCAATTGCACTATGCATACATGCATACAATCTAACACTTGTGTTATGTGTTTTTTTACAGGCCTCGGGATATCACAGATGAAGAATACGAAGAGTTCTATAAATCTTTCACCAAGGAGACGGACGCACCCATGGCTAAGACTCATTTCTCAGCTGAGGGAGAGGTCACCTTCAGGTCCATCCTCTTCATCCCCAGTAAGGCACCAAACCAGATGTTCCAGGACTATGGCAAGAAGTTTGACAACATCAAGGTCAGTTTGTTAGGCCCTGTCTGTCGTAAGATAGATACCAAACGATAACTTACGTGATATATGTTATGATTATACCTCTGCCCTTTTTTCCATCCAGAAAATATTGTTTGAGTGTAAGGTTAAAAAATAAAGAAATAGAAACAATGAAAAATTTAAAATGTAGTCTCAACTTTTTTTAAATGTGAATGAAACCAAATCAAATTTGAAAGGAAAATGTTTTTGGTTTTAGATCATTTGAAGAAGAAAAACATTCTATAAATAAAGAGCCCAAAACATGACATCATAAAAATTCAAAGTACTTTTCAGAAGTCACAAATTATTTTGTAATGTTGCATTAGATGTCTGAAATAGTTCTAGTGGAAATCAAGACTAAGAAATGCATACCAATATCTAGACTGTTTTCTAGCACTCTTACCGTTTCCTGTAATAACATTTCTACTCATACGATTGGTATATATATATATATAACTTTCCTGTTGAGATGTTAATGTAGCCTATTGCAATAGTTTTCAAGACGTTCCTTTTCTTTCCTCCACAGCTTTATGTACGACGTGTATTCATCACCCATGACTTTGAAGACATGATGCCCAAGTATCTCAGCTTTGTCAAGGGTGTGGTTGACTCCGATGATCTGCCACTCAATGTGTCACGTGAGACTCTCCAGCAACACAAACTACTCAAGGTCATCAAGAAGAAACTTGTCAGGAAGGTAATATACATACCCTCATTGATTCAATTTTGTGTATAAATATCATCTCCTATTAACATTGAATCTCGTTGTTTACTTTGATGTTCATATTTATTCTTTTTTACTGAATTTGTGATGAGAAAATCCAGTCGAATGATAGTGAAAAATAGATCTGAATTTCTTATACTGTAAATCTGTAAATGCCACCAAATTGTAAATGTCAAGTTTGCTTTCTTATATTCACATCCTCAAAGTAGTTGATAGTGGGCCTTACTGGATACATGTCTGTGTGTTTTCTAAGTGATACACTTTGCCAAAAGAAGATATGAACAGTAGTATTAACAGCACACTCTAAATTTACAATGCCAAGAGGTGGTACTTTGTGTAGACAGATTATTCCTTGAGAGCTTTTACCATTTACAGTAACACTAATCCAATATAGCAGGCAGTTCAGTACCCCAGAGGAACTATCTTGCAATTCCTGACTAGTTTACGTTGATGATAATTTATTTTTTTCCTCGTTCCCTGCTCAGACTCTTGACATGCTGAAGAAGATGGACCCCGAAGAATACATGGAGAAGTTCTATAAGGAGTACGGAGTCAACGTCAAGCTGGGGATCATCGAGGACCACAGCAACAGGTCCCGTCTGGCCAAGCTGGTCAGGTTCTTCTCCTCAAACTCTGAGACGGAACAGACCAGTCTTCAGGATTATCTGGAACGTATGAAGGAGAAGCAGGAGGTCATCTACTTTGTTGCTGGAACCAGCAGGAAAGAGGTAAGAATAACCAGATTTGAACCTGAATTGGTACAAAGAAGGGTAATGAATAAGTTAATGCATTCTCTCAAAATTACTTTAGTCTTATAAAACTACACTCTGGGATAATGCTGCAGGGCAATATTTTACCCGATTTGGACCTAGAGTTTGGACCAGTTTGGACCTGGTGAGAAGCCTAGTGACGTGAAACATATTGATCTTTTTTCACTCTCAATGTACCAGTTCTATGTCATATGATTTTGTGATTTAACATTAATATGTTAAAAAATTGGTGATCTTGCATTTTTCTCCAGCGACAGTTGCTCTGGGAAGTATAGGGTGTGAGGGTTAGGTTGCAATGTGATTTTATGAGGGGTACAATCAACAAATCTGTTACATTAACCCATGTCCATCAACTCCACCACCAGGTTGAATCTTCACCGTTTGTTGAGCGACTCTTGAAGAAGGGCTACGAGGTAATCTTCCTGACCGAGCCCGTAGATGAGTACTGCATCCAATCCCTGCCTGAGTTTGAAGGCAAGAAGTTCCAGAACGTTGCCAAGGAAGGACTGAAGATTGATGGGGAGGACTCCGAGGCTGCCAAGGAGAGGAAGGAGGAGCTGGAGGCCAAGTTTGAACCCCTTCTCAAGTGGCTCAAAGATGCAGCGCTGGGAGATGAGGTAAGTGTCCATCAAAATTTTGGTCGGCTTCACCTCCTTACATAACATGACTTCATATTGCCTTTTTTTCAAACATACATTCATTTAAAATAATGTGTTCTTGATTTGCCATTTGGTGGTGGCTGATCACTGAAGCCTTCAAAACAGGTAGTAGAATGTTATTCTATTTCCATAAAGATTCAGAGATTCTAGAATATGAAATTGTGAGCTGGATAAAATAGATTCAGGTCAAAATGCTTAAAGGTGGAAAGGCCACAACTTTTACAGAAATAAAATTTACATCTCTAAAAAAGTATTGAAAATGGAATCCTTTGTAGTAAACATCCACTCTGAAAAGTATAAAATGATAGATTTATATGATATTGAAGTTTTAGAGAGCTCTTGTTGAATTCAATACGGTAAACTTAGTATGTCCCATAGTTTAATTGCTTTAGTTCTTCAACTAACACCCTTTTGTACCATATATTTATGAAGATGTAAAAAAATATATGTTTAAAATGGAGTTTTTGAAGCTTCTACCAACCTTCATTTTTTGTTGCGCAAGCTTTCGACCACTCCTGTGGTTTTTCTCAAGCTAAGTGATCAGTCTGAGTCACGCGTTTTCTTGAAAATATATGTTTACTACATCAATGTTATTCATACTCTTTTTTGTTTATGATGACCTTTAAGATCAAGGATGCTAAGCTGTCTAACCGTCTGAGTGACTCACCCTGTGCCTTGGTTGCTAGTCAGTATGGATGGTCAGGAAACATGGAACGTATCATGAAGGCTCAGGCATACGCACAGGCCAACAATCCTAACACAGAGTGAGTTTAGCATTTGGTTTACCCTTTCATTGCTGCCGTTAGATTTTATTGAACAGGGTCAATGGGTCAATCTAAATCTTCCTAACGAGTCAGGTGAAAATAAAAAAATAAAAGATACCAGTTTGGGAAGGTAAAACAATGATTAAAGAACAAATTATGGGAAAGGTAAGACTGCTGTGCAGTGATTAATGGTTAAAACTATTGATTTTGTATCAAATGAAGACTTTATGCTGCATAAAACTTGTGAAAGCCCATGAAGAGAAATGTTATCCACGAGCATATCACATCGAATGTCCTGCATTCTGCAGAAGAAAAATCCTTTATGATAACTATAAAAATATAGACAATGATAGCCAGCCAAGCGTATATTTACATGAAGTTGTTGATTTATCCACATATTGGCAGTGGTAGCGATCACTTTGAAGAAATGCATTTTATGTACATGTATAAGATATCTGAGATAACTGTATGTAGTCCAGGTCCTGTAGATCAAGTGACATGCTCTGTTCACGGAAACTAATCTCTACCCTGTAACTATCTGGTCATCTAGGTACTACGCCTCCCAGAAGAAGACCCTGGAGGTGAACCCCAGACATCCCCTCATCAAGACACTCTTAGAGAAGGTTGAAGCGGATGCAGAAGATGAGACGGCCAAGGATCTTGCTGTCGTCATGTTTGAGACGGCTACCCTGCGCTCTGGTTTTGCCCTCCCCGACTCTGCTGCCTTCGCTGGTAGGATAGAAAGGATGCTCAAGATCAGTATGAACCTTGACCCTAATGAGAAGGTAAGTCAAGTCCAGGGTCAAGTCAAGGGGTGGAATTTCATATCTTTTTGCTGGGCGTATATTGTAGTTAAATTGCAATCTAAAGAAGCTGAATTACTTGGACAGTCTCACAGATGGTGTCTGGATTCAGTCCTTCAGGTATTTTTTTGTAGAATGAAAAAAAATTGTACTCACAGGGCCCTGTCTTACAAATCGCAACTATGTACATAAGAGATAGGAGACTGCAAACTTGCGATTGATTGGAGGACGTACAATTGATTTGGATCAATTGCAACTCTTTGTAAGACGGGGCCCTGGTATTAATGAGCCAAGAAATGCAACTGCTATATATCAAAGAATGAGAAGAGACGATGTTATGAAGTTTTCATTAAATCTGGAAGAATATGCCAAATTTAGAATTTAAAAAAAAAAGAACTAATTGTGACAGTTCATGATTTTTATTTTTATTTAGGGAGATATGCTTGGGTGATGTATACAAAATTATTCTGATTTCATTCAATTTGATTTGTAGGATTTGGAACATTTTAATAAGCCCAGTTGACCAAACTAGATAGTACTATGAAATGAATATCTAAATATATAAGTGTGAAATTGGTATAAGTATTTATTGAATTAAGAACAAAAATGTGAGATCTAATCATGAACGTAATTATCACTTGTTTCTCATTAGGTGGAAGAAGAACCAGAATATGAAGACGAGGAAGAAGTAGAGGAAGAGGAGGAGGAAGAAGACGAGGAGGAAGAATTATCTGATGATGATGAATATGATGATAGCGTAGAAGAATTAGTAGAAGAAGATGTAAGTATCATGTCATAAAACACATGGGTTCTATGACATATGCTCCAGCAACAATTCCTTCACTAACCAAATTCCTAACTTCAACCTTGGACCAGACATTAGACAATGTCCTAAATTGAGAGCCCACTCCTATGGTCTTTAAAGTCTGGAGAGAATGTTGCTGGAGCGAATGTCAGGTCACCAAAACAAATGTATCTCTACTCCCATCACTCTGTTATTTGGATAAAACGATGGCCTTTTGGAAGGTGCTACTCAAGTAGAACCAAATCGGTTCCAAGATTATTTAACAAAAAGAAAAGAAATTTAACAATCTGAATGCATTTGATGTGGTTGATAGTAATAAAATCATGGGTTGTGGTTGACTTATAGAGCCCCTTGCCCTTTAGCTAAGCGCCAAACCAGTTCATGAACCAACACAACTAGTTTCCTTTGATCTTCATTATTAAGTTCCAATATACCTATAGGTTGGCTACTGATTGTGAGCATTGATCAGTTGTCAGCATCTCAAAACTGAAGAAAAGAGAAAATACCGAGATATTTCTTGAATATATGTTGCCAATCTTTGAATTTCACATTTATCGCATACTTACTGACATTTTGCTATTCTGTATATTTTTTTTTACTTGCCACAGATTGAAAACCATGATGAGCTCTGATGAGAGGAAAGCAATTTAGACACCATTGTAGATACAGATTAGAGGTGTCCCAGGGAGAATCAACTTATCTATGTATATCTGGACTTCAAAATGCTTTTCTCCCTTGAAAGACATAATGTGGGACTACGAAAAGGAGTGTGGAAATCATCAGAACTCTTTATCACTCACTGGAGGAAGTCTGTTAAAGCAAGGATTTAACATGGTTTTGATAAACTATGAGCACCTTAAGCATCAAAACACCCAGTTATTGTTTCATGTACACATGTCTTAGCATTGCACATCACAACAACAATCTAAAACCAAATTATTACTGGATGTAATTATCAATAGACTAAAGCAGAATGTTCATTCTTGTAGTTTATCAAATATACATCATTTAGTTTGTTTTAACACCTTGTTAAAAAATTATTTAAAGGTGAAAGATTATTTGATTCCAATCTATTTTGCAAATTTTATATGTACATGAGAGTTTATGAAATTATTCATTCTACTACCAATCAGGAGTAGTTCTCTTTTTTTCAATTTTGTAGATCCCATGTTCAATGTATTTTTGTCATCAGTTTTTGTTTTTACAAATTACAAATGGTGAGAAAAGCAAAGTCAACATTTATTTGGTTGTGGAAAATGCATGATTTTGATATTTATTTATTAACACGAGAGCAAGGCATGATATAAACAATGAGAGTTCAAAATTACTTGCAATATATCTTGGAGCTAATCTTGAAGGCAGGTTCAATAGTCTAAAAGAATACCAAAACCTTGCTTCTCATCCTATGAAAGGAAATCCTTTTTTTATTCAATTTCAAAGCAACTTAAATTTGGTGGTTTATCTTTTCTTGCCTTTATTTTTTTCTCCTAATTGTCTAACGTCTAATACGTTTTCATATATACGGTACTTACGGTACTTTGTGAGTCTATGTTTGTATCTTGTGCAAAACAATTTTAGCACAATCCGTCTGTGGAAGGTGGAAACGAGTTTTCAATAAAATTGAAAAAAACAAAATATTATTGTTCTCCTTTTCCTTGATCTGTGTTGAAATATCATGTATAAACATATCTATATTCCTGTTATGTGAAGGAAGAAGATGATTTCACATTTCCTAAATAGCAATTCCACCCGATTCTAACTTGGTTTTTATAAAAGCAAAAACAAGTTAGTGAAAGTTTGAGCAGTATCCAATTCAAAATAGGAAATTCATGAATTTTGAGGCTGTTATCAGTGAAACACAAATAAGCAGCACTGTGATGTATTTTGTGAGCTCCATCAATATGCTCTGTACAGAAAATTTCATAAACTTTTATTTTCTTAGTTATTGATGATGGATTTTTATTTTTGGGCAAATAGGAGGAAAACTTGAAAGATACATCACAGAGGTGCCATTTTGTGTTGATTCATCGCACCTTCGAAGATTCATAACTTTTAAAAAAAATTTTATTGGTATTTGCTCAAACTGATCGGTTTCTCTCATTTTTCTGCTTCTATTTCAAACAACTTAATATCAGGGTGGACTTCCCCTTCATGATCTTTTAGTGTGTAATATCTTGAATGAGCAATTTTCATCATCACCAATTATTTAAAAGATTAGATTTGAGGCACAGTCACTCCTTACTAAATAACTTTATTAACTGCCATTATTGGAGTGTTGTGACTGCCACTAACAGATTGTGCCATTAATCTTCAAGGGAACCTTTTATACAAAACATGAAAATATTAGCAATATTGGCAGAGTGTGATCAGATTTTTGAGTCCCGGTCACACTTTAAAAAAAAATGTCATTTCAATAACCTGCAGTGAACCTATTTCTGCATATTGTGAAAACAAGTATTGATATCAGCAGAGTGTGACCAGGCCTTTAGGGCCCAGTCACACCGCACTAGTAGCTACATCAATAACTGGAAGTAGCAATATTCGGCAGAGTGTGACCTGGGCTTTAAGGCTCAGTCACACTTTGCTAAATAAGTAACTTATACATATGAAAAACAAATATCAATGTAGGCAGGGTGTGACCAGGCCTTTAATGCAGATATATTCTAAATAAATGCACCTCTCTCTCTCTCTCTCCCTCTCTCCCTCTCTCCCTCTCTCTCTCTCTCTCTGTCCTCTCTCTATACCTGTCTCTTTCTCTCCTCTTCCTCTCACTCCTCTCTCGTTCTCTCCTCCACATTATTTTACATTGTCTCTTCTCATGTCACTGGATAACAAAATGATACTTTAAAAGAAGAATTGAAACGACAACACTTATATCTTTTTGGTGAAGTATTTAATTCATCATCTTTCTCTGTACAGGTTTACAAGTTTCTTAAAGTATCCATAATTAAGTTTTACAATAAAACAACAAACATTATATAGATTAAACATTCATATCAAATGCACAATGTGAAAATGTGTTGTGCTTGACCTTGTGCAAACACATAAAAATACATATATAGAAATTCCAAAAGACTCCACTCTCTCTCTGTTCATTAGAGGAAGAAAGAGTACATTGAACTTAACATTATACTTGATACATCACCCCCTTCCATTCCTCTGCATCCCCCTATCACTGTCTGAATATGATCCCTATTCACAAATAATCGGCTCTATAAAAATCAATTTAACCACCATTTTGCTCAAATATGAGGCGTTTCGTCCCTCAAATTTGCTGAAGGACAACGAGGGGGGCACAAGCTTCTAATTTCCAGTTCTACTTTGGGTCGTTCTCACTGACCCGTGTCATCCTTGAACGCTTTCCCGACAGTCCAAACACGCTTGGTATTTACCTGCCATACCCGCCCGCTCTTCCTTGCGTCAATATGCAAAGGAAAAATGCAGCCACCAGCACCTGAACACTGGGAAATTCTCGCCAAATTGCAAACCCATCTCGATGGGAGGAAGGGAGAAAAAAAACCTTGGGGCGTTAACTCTGAATGCGGTTGCTGGCAAATACCTTCCAGTCAAATTGTGGGAGATGATTTTTTGGCAAACAGGAGGACCAGCCAGCACCGCCATTGGTGATACCGTCACACCTGGGTGATGAAATCAATACCAATTGAGGATGTGCGTGAGATGAAAGCAAGGAGATTCTCGTTCTTACCCCTGACGTGCTAGATTACTAACTCAGGACTAGCTAAAGTGAAGTCGAGGCAGAATCTCTACTATCATATTAGTTTGAGCGGTACCTTTCTGAAACACACCTCTGACAAGTTTACGGCACATCTAAATGCAACATGATACAGGTATAAGAAGGGAAATAGATTGAAAATGCAGGAGATTTCTTGTCTGGTATCTTTCTGCAAATACACACTAGAGTTAATGGAAAATAGCATCCTGTATCAATTTGAGTGATAATCTATATTAAGCTTTTCCCCATTAGACTTACTGAATAGTCCTCTACAAATGTAACTTTATCTGCATTTACATGAAAGATAATGCAAACTACTTCAAATGATTACAATTTAGAAGCAAATAGTTACTGAAAAGAGCCTAAAGTGTAAACTGTGATATATTTTCTTTGACAGTGGTACTTAACCCTCTAAGACAATGAAACTATGAAAGACAGAAATACAATTAAATCATCAATTTTCCTTTCTCATTCTTTCTTTTATCTATGAAAGAAAGAAATGTCTTATTTTGACTTAATACATCTTATTTTACAGGTCACCTATAATATGAAATTAAAAGAATGCGGCAAGCAACAAGATGCAACCCAAGAGGGTTTCAAAAAAACAAATGCTCTGTTTTTGAAAAATAAATACAGTCACTTATTTAAATCTACGAGTTGGAATTTTTATGCCCAAATCTTGTCCTAAAATGTGAGCATAGATTCCATCATAAGGATGCCAAATCACCAAGAATTTCACAAGTTACAGAACACTTCAATTACAAACACTGGATCAACCCAATGTTTCTGTCATTATCCCATACTAAATACACAGCACATTGCTGCGATGCAATCACATCCACGTTATAAAGACACATTGCGACATTCTCCATTCTTGTCACAATAATATATTGAAATACTTGTAGTAATAGATTTATTATAATTTTTGTTTTTCATTCTGTAATACACATTTTTACAAGACTGTACAAAATAGATATACATACTTTCATACTTGTCCACTATCACCCTACATTCATTCACTATAGACATTCACCTTATGTCCGCCATGCATATTTAGATATATTTTCAAATATAAGAAAGCATACACAAAGGAATATCAAGTGTATAAAAAGATTGATAATATGCATAAGAAGACAACGAGAGGCAAATTTGAATAAATAATCATATATCTTTTTTTTGTCTACTCTAAAAACTGGACAAATAATAGCAAAATCGCATTTGGCAAAAAGAGGCATGCGGACTTGAAATGACCGCATACTTTTTCCCCTTCGAATATACATACATCATAACATGCTGATCTATTGCTACATTTGATCACACAACTAGGTGCAGGAGTGTAGTCTTAAAGTCTGTCACATTTGGCACAAATCAAAGAAATACTGTCACAAACAAAACAAACAATTCAAATCATGGTCATCACTCGGGCTAGGTCTACTCTATACAGTGTCGCAACCATTGGAATTATTAAATTAATACAAATCAAATTATATAAAAATACCTCGGTCCTGAATATTGTTTTATTTTAAATGAAATCAAAATTTTAACATATTACATTTCCTGTTCACCCCCTAAGAATGCAATTGTTATTTTCTCAATGATAGAAATGAACTGATTTTCCATTGCAGAGGAGGATACTACTAAAATTGCTAGAATCACCATTAAACTCATATCCTTCAGTAAGGATGTAAATGTCAAGAAAGGAACATTTTTCATGATGCTACTTCATGAACATTATGATCAGCACCAGCTGCCAAGTCAAATAAACAGAGGAGGCCAAGCAAATGTACGAGATACATTTCAAAATGAGTTGCTCAAATCTAAAAAAGTAAGCCAAGAAATAGCATTTTGAGTCAGTACGATGTGGCCCTTTTAAATGCTGGGGGTTAACCTTCCTCGCACTCCCACATAATACAGCACCTACCCTCCCTCTACATCACTCTCTTACTATGTCAATTCCAGATTTCCAAATTCATTTCCTTTTCTACACCTTTTATTTTGGCTGTCCTACTTATTCCCCAATCCCCACCCACTTCACCTTTCCCTTATTGTTCCTCTCCTTTGTGATTGGGGATGGAAGCAGAGAGAGAGAGAGGGGATGATTGATCTGGAGAACCTACAAAAGGCAATTCTGGTCTCCATTCCTCATGACAAGATTGAATAGTGTCACGTTTCCTCGTATCCCTTCTAGCAATCGTTTTACCATCCTCCCGGACACCTTCTTTCTACTCGCTTTTCCATCTCCTTTCCCTTTTCTTTTCCCTTTAACAAAAAAAAAATCATCAAGCTTTTTGACCTCACAGAAGGCAAGACATGAAACCAGAAAGACTTCTGCCCCCCCCCCCCTCTCCCCCTCTCTTTTAATTTTGTTACAAGAAAGGATGATGAAGGAAAGAATTTCTAAGAAAGTATAAATACAGCATTATTTTTTGTCAGATCAGACTGTTAATTGTTCCATGATCGAAGGGTGGAAATCACACATTATAGTGAACTAGGTTTCTATCAGACCCTCCATCAGTTGCATACTTTAGAGCTCGCTTAATGGAGGCCTAATTTGAAAATTTCTGTAAAAATGTACATGTTATTTGCAAAGGAAATGTTAACTTTTCCAAAATTGGTCCCTTTTAACAGATTTCCGTATAACACTTTAAGAGAGAGGTAAGCACACACCAATGAGCCAGAGATGCTACACTAAAACATAAAATCATACCTTAACTCTATCAACATTTAAAAAAAATTAATCAATAGCAGAAATGCATTTATGTTTAAAACATCTTTTTAAAATGATAACTTTCCTTCTTTTAATACATATTTACATTAATCTATACACATCTATCAAATAAAATAAACAATATTTGGCATAATAGATGAATGTGAAATCATACAGGACAAATGTATTTTGACA